GGTTGGATGTTCATTTTTCTGTTTTTCTGCTTTGTATTTTATTCTTGTTGACAAACAAAAATAAATCAGTTAAAAAAAAAAAAAGAATTCTGAAGAATTCTGAACAGCTGAGGCAGGGACCTTAGAAGTGATACATGGGCATCCGAGCATCATCTTCATGAATTTATCAACCTAATTTTCTATTTTCAAAGCCCAGCAAAACAAAAGGAATATCCTGATAACCATGATATACAGTATGTTTTTAACCATCGCCATCTTGTGGTAACTTTGAAATATAATAACTGTGGTCTTTGTTCTCTCAATTTTGTATAATCAGCTCACTGTTCATACAAAGTTGAGGCAACCTTTTTTGGTTCAAAAGAAGGCAACATGAAACTAACCTGCATAAACTTCTCAAAAAATTCCAGTTTTGAAAGAACTGTGTTCTATCCAGGGGTGAAATCTAAAATTTTTCCCTACCGGTTCTGTGGGCGTGGCTTGGTGGGGGGGTTGTCCTGTGACTGAGTGGGCATGGCCAACTCAATGTCACTCACAGCCACGCCCACTCAGTCCCAAGACCCCCTTCCACCAAGCCACGCCCACAGAACCTGGTAGGAAAACTTTTTAAATTTCTTTCTCCCACGGCTCCGCCTACCTTCCCCATTCCCCAGACTCCGTTTATTTAATTCAGCGGCAGGTTGGATGTGCGCTTGCACAGCTGGCGCGTGGACCAGACTGGCTCATTCAAGAAGGAGAGTGAGCGACTCCGGTACCTTTCGGGCGCTTGCTTCCCTGACAGCCAGCCGCGGGAGAAAGATGAGCAGTAGGAGTCCGGGGAATGGTGCATTCCCCGAGTCCGGGGAATGGGGAGGGTGGGTGGGTGGGCGGAGCCTCCAGCTGCCATTGCTACCGGTTCTCCGAACCACCGGCCATCATCGCTACCTACTCGCCCGAGCCGGTCTGAACCGGGAGCATTTCACCCCTGGTTCTATCTTTGCAAAGCTTGGTTACAGATCATGCAACACTAAATGCAAGGTTGTATCTCAGTTTGAACTGAAAAGGTTCACGGAATACACACAAAATCTTTGGCTATATACAGTGGCTTCATAAAATACTGGCAAAAGATTTTCTAGAGGACAAACCTCCCACCCGTACCTCCACCTGTCACTTAAATAAGCAATGTAGATCCTCTGTTTGTACAAAGGATCAGTTAATCCTTTGTATCAACAGTCAAGTAAATTCTAGTCAAAGAAAATGGTATCACTCACAAATAGCAGACATTGCTAGTTAATTTTCTTTAAACTAAAGGAATTTGTTAAAAACTTACGTCTTCAAGAAGACAAACAGCAGCAGGATTCCCACTGAAGGGTTGGTTGGTAAACGCATCAATTATGAAAACTGAAATCTGCATTTTCTTCCTTACAGAATTTTACAAGGCTTTTTAAAATGGCCCTTTGGAAATTGCTGAGTCTCTCTTTCTTGTTATTGCAGAAATGTCCAAGTTAATATTTAACTCAGCAAGTAGAAAGAAGGAGGAGTTTTTTATTTAAATTGATTTGTCTTCTTTACCTATTTCAGCAACTACGCAAAGACTAAGCAATTTATGGCATTATTATTTACTATGGGACTTTGAAGAGTTATTTTTGTTTAACTGAGTATGTAGTTGCCAGGACAGTTGTGATTCTGTAAATTTACTCAGAAGTAAAACCTACTACATTGTTTAACTTTTCCATTACTTCAGTAGCTATAGAATGACTTTTTGCCATCCTTTAAGTTCAAAACACAACTGTGTTGGCATCTGGCAGCAGTTTCCACCATTTCAAAGAAAGAAACCTGTAAGGACTCAGCTAACAAAAACTAAAATAATTCATATTCCATCCCCAAATAACATTAAGAAAGCTACAAAACATTGGGATCAAATATGTGTTTTGAGTCAGAAGATTAATAAACATACAGTTGAAGCTAGAGATTTTCCTTTTGGGGTTAATGGATGGAAAGATCTTGTGGAATTTTGTTTTTATATATAACAGTGGCAAGGCCCCTATATGCACAAAGCTAGAAGGGCTTACAGATACCTACAATGGAAGAATGGATGGCTAAGCCAATGGAATTGACAGAAATGACGAAAACTAAAGAAGACTTTGACCAATTTTATTTCTACCTAGAAACCACTTTTTGACTTTTTTGCACGAGACTGGAAGAAATGAAATTGTGATTTTTGGATTTGATGATTAGAAACAAGGGATTATGGAAACGTTAAAGTCTGAATTTGATATATTTTTTATTTATTTCCAAAGAAAGTTGATTCTTTTTCTATTCTTTTTTTTTGTTGTTCTGCACTTTTATCTTGCTCTTTTCCTAAATTTTCCCTTTTTCAATTGATTTTCCTTCTTGCTCATTTTTTTTTAATTCAAGAAAGTTAAATAAAAAAAAGAAACTAAATTCCATTCTCAAATATAGAAAAATGCAGGCAATTGTGGTTTTGACCATGTGAATGACATAACCCTTCCCTCCTTTCATCATTGCTTTTTCTCCTGCCTTTGCCTCCCTAACATTACATTAGTAGCACACATAATTCACCTTTGAGAGCCATAATATTCCCATCAGAAAGCAAACGTGTTGGAAAACGTGGATGAGGAACATAATTGTGGGAGGTAAGGAGCATGGACTACCATTGGCTTCTTGGGTTTTCAGCTTTCCCTTAGATTTGTAATCCCAGCTCACCTACTATGCGAGATTTTATAATAAATTCTTTCCCCAATATAGAAAGACATTGACTGTACATCTATAACAGCATTAACAATACCCACACTAATAATGCAATATTTTATTTACAATATTTGCATTACTTCTACTATGTTGTTGAATATGGTACATATTTTTAAAACTAAGCTTCATTTGTATTATAAACTACTATAAAAAGTATAATTACACTCTTTCACTGTGCATACAAGTCAAAATATATGTTTTCAAGTCTCTGTGTGTGAGCCCGTGTCTTACCTGAAATACCAGGTATCATAATCTAACTTAATTATGAAATGAAATTTTTGGTTTAAAATTCATGTTCACCACAAAGCTCCCTATGAAATTGTCATATTAAAGAAAGAATCTTTATGTAATCTTAAAAAAGAACTGATAGACTTTGTAATTTAATTCTTGGAATTATCTTCTGATGGTAAACATGAAATAAGGCAGATTTTTAAACAAATGTGCATGGGGTGGTAAATGCATACTTAGTATTTTTATTCTAAGCTGATCTTGATGTAAAGCAGAGCTCCTAATCATTGAGTTGCATTTCAATAATAAAACACATACCTTAATAATGAACACAGTTAAATCTGCTGTCATATTGATAGTCCTTGATTTACAACTGATTGGTGACCATTTGAAGTTATAACAGACCACTCCAAAGGTACTTACAACCCAGTTCCAAAGTACCAGTGGCTAACCCCCCCCCCCCCCCAGCCCCCCCCCCCCCAAGACATGAGACCATGTCAGATGCTCAGCAACGGCTCACATTTATGGCCATTTGCAGCATCCTGCTGTCAAATGACGTTTGATTTTTTTATTTTTTATTTTTTAGTGAAAATTGGCATTAACTTCCATTTTTCAAGAAAAATGGTCCATAGAAAACAATGGGCTCACTTAATGACCATGGGTGCACTTAACAACCATAGCGTTCACTTTGCAACTATGTTCTCTTAACAACCACTGCAAGAAGGGTCATACAATTAGATCAGTGATATGAGTGCCATCCAGACTCACAATCATAATGATTGTATGCTTGTACTTGTACTTTGGAACATTGTATGCAAAAGTGATTTGTACACCAAGTCTTGATTGTTGAAAGAAAAAGACGTAATGAAATGACATGGCTTCTGAATGTATGTGTTATACCATCTGATGATTGATAACTGCCAGAGACAAACAGAATGGTAAACTTGTCCGATCGTATTTTATTAACCCTTTTATACAGCTGATTGTATCATTTTTATTGGTCTTTATTAAAGATTTAGGAACTGTAAACATCAAAATATGTAACTTCTCAGAAGATCAAATTGTAACAAAATTAAAACCAAGCAATTATTACAAAGATTAAGACTAATCATAAAACATACTGAAACCAACAAGAAAAAAAGAAAGCAAATCTGGGTTGTTTTGTGACTCTGTATAATGAAGCCAAATAATTTGCCACTAGTAAAAGTTACTTTTATATTGATATTGATAAATAGGAAAATTCATTCTAGTTCAAAGAACTGATGTGAGAATCAGAATAATACATTGAAGAACTCAAGAACACTACATGAGGTATATGCTATGTATGGCTTTTACCCTGCCTACCGTTTGCCTAAATAGCAGCAAAGAAAGGGAACTTAATCTGGGTCTTGAAAAATATAAGAATTTGGGTCTAATAATTACTTTTTTCAGAAAAACTGGCACATCTTTTGTTCAGGAAATCAAAACAGACTTGCAATCATCTCTGTTGGGAGGATTCACTGAAAACAACACAAAAATAAAATCTAAAGAGCTGGTGCCTTACATGCTGGCAACAACAAGAAAATATTGGAATTGGCATTATTTACTCCTAGATCAGCGTTTCTCAACAGCTGCACCTTTAAGACGTATGGACTTCAACTCCCAGAATTCCCCAGGCAGCATGGCTAGCTCGAGAATTCTGGGAGTTGAAGTCTTGAGCATCTTAAAAGTTGCCGGCTTTGAGAAACACTGCGCTAACGGAACGTTTGCTTTTTAACGCGCTTTCTAACGGAACGAAACGGAACGTTTGCTTGATCACCGAGACAAGCATTTTAACGAGCGGTACTGTACTCGTAATTCCAAAGTTGTGCGGAGGCGGCCAACCAAACAGAAAACCGCCCCAAGATATCTCAGACCGCCGCGGTAAGAGCGTTGCGCATGCGTATCCCCGCCTTCCTGGTCGACGGTTTCCTCCCCCGCGCGGCGCGTACTCTCGTTCGCTAGCCATTCCGCCGCGCATGCGCCATTTCCGCCGCTAGGCGACGGGAGTCCTCGCGATACGCGCGCCTACGACGCCATCCTGTCTGCCTCAGCTGCGTAGCTTGTTAGTCGGCCGTCGGTTAAGCGCTTCCTTGTTCTTTGTGGGGAGTTCCGCGCAGCCGTTTGGGCCGATCGCCTGGGGAAGTGGGTGAGGTGTTGCCGGTGAGTGGGTGGCGGGAAGCGACCGGGCAACTTGTCCCGATATGCCGGGAGAAAAGAGAGCCGAGGTGGGCGGACCCGCCTTTCTCGCTCCTGAGAAACGGGCGAACTCCTTGGGAGGGGAGGGGAGGGGGGAAGAGAGGGAGGGAGGGGAGGGGAGGGGAGGGGGGCGAGGGAAAGAAGGGTTAAACGGCGCCGTGCGCACGCGCGCGGGAACATTCGGAAGGGTTGTTGGGGTTTGTTTTTTTTTTTTGCTCTCAGCCGCCATTTTTAACGAGCCGGCCACAAGCGCGGGTGGGGGTGGCCGCGACGCCTCGGGAGCTGTGCGAAGGCTTCCCTCGGCCTGCTATAACGGTCTCGCGGTGCCTCTTGCTGGCTGCAGCCGCCGCTACTCGAAGGGGCGAGGGCGGCTTTGGTAGGGCAAGCCCGAGTGGAGAAAAGAAAGGCAGAAGACGGCGAAGCGGGGTCCCTCGGAGCGTGACAAAAGAAGCGTGCGCCTCCGCCATTGATACCCCTCCTCCTCAGCCGAGGACCACCTCTCCGGTGCCACGCCTCCGGGGGTGCTGGTGCGCCTGCGCGCTGAGGTCGTTCGTAGGGAAGGTTCAAGACCGTGTTGAAGCGTTGCGCGTTTGGAAGGCGAAGAGTTGGTTTCTCTTGACAACGTCCTGAAGCAGCATCGCAAGCCCAAGTTCAGCTCCTCGGAAGTAAGGTGCCTTGGAAGTCAGTTGGAACTGGCGAAATGGAAACATGCCGTCGGTGGCAGGGGCTGGGCCAGAATACCAGTATAAAAACGTGGAAAAGTTTCCATAGGACCCAAAATGGCAGCGATTCGGGCATTGCAAGCAGTTTATTTATTGGTTTGTTATGATTTATTGCGTTAAGCAATAGCCTTCGTACTTTTGTATATACCTGCTTAGTAGGGCTCCCCACCCCCCGCAAGCGGTGTTCTTTTTTATACAAAGTCAGCTTATTGCCCCCACAAACCGGGTCCTCATTTTACCTACCTTCGAAAGGATGGAAGGCTGAGTCAACCTTGAGCCTGGTGAGATTTGAACTTGCGGTAATTGCAGGCAGCTGTGTTACTTAACAGTGCTTTAGTCTGCTGCGCCACCAAGGCTCTTGAGATTTAAGATTCAAAAGAGCGCAAAGGTCATGGTGCGGGGTGGCATTGGGTGTGCTGACCAGCGACAGGTGGGGATGGGTGAGGGCCTTACCTGCTTTGTGTCTTGTTAATCAGATATAAAGGCCCTGTTGTTGGTTGTAAATGGCCCACTCAACGAGGTCATTGCTGTGCTGGATCCACTTTTGAGACCAGGAATAAGGGAAAGAATTAGTAACCGATGTAACCACTGCCAATATTACATGGAAGTGCATAAGAGTAGCTGCTTTGGTTGAATTTTGAATGGATTTCAGAAACGGCAGGACTAAAGATACTTGGCTGGGGTTCGTTTCCAGCAAGTCAGGAAAAGGAACTTGGATGGGTCTCTCCCTTTAATCACATTGGTGATGTAAGTGAAGAGACGCTTTCTTGATTTAGGGCCTCTCGCTTAAAAGTGTGGTGGTTTTTAGCAGAGATCTTTGTGTGCAGTAAATGTAAGCTGGAACCCAGCTCAAGCAGAAATATTGTACTGAACACAAAAAGGTAATGCTGAAGCAGGACTGCTGTGTCCGTAGCCTTGTATTAACCAGTAGGGATATTTACCAAAAGTATATGCTGCCTGGCTCTAGGCAATTTACCATATTCGAATTTATTATCAAATTTATACAGCCATGCAGTGTAAAATAACTAAAGAACAGCAAATATATAACATAGTCAATATTGAAAATTAACTAAAGTTATAATTATACATGCCCAAAGCAGAAAGAGAATGTGTAGATCCACCTCAATAGCGGAGCCTTCTAAATGTATCTTGGGCCTCATGACAAAACCAGAACATCAAGAGGAGTGAAGCTAATCTAATTTCCAGTTTAAGTAATTTATTATTTAAAATAATAGCATAATAATTGATCTAACTAAAATATTTGTGCCTTTACTAAGATATTTTTGAGGCAGTCGGTTAAATAGTTAACTGTCTTTTTGAAAGTAATATTGTTTACATTGATTGCACAATGTACTTTCAGTAAAAGGCACACCAAGTTCCTTTAAATCTGAGGCACCTTCTCTGCATACATGTATGGGAAAGTTTGATTTATTTTCATAAATAATTTCTTATTGTATGTATGTTTTAATCTGAAGTACAACTATTGATCAGTATATCAAAAATTTGATCTTAAGTAGTATTTTAGATAATAGTTATAAGTTTGACAGTACAAAAAAGCAGTTTTGTTTTTTAATAAGTACAAGAAGTCTTTACAGGTAGTCCTTAGCTTACAAATGCAATTGGCACCAAAATTTTGGTTGTAAGTTAAGGTACCTATGTGACCAGAGCAGGTTTCTTTTTTTAAAATCTTTTTTTATAGTGTCAAGCAAATTACACCGTCAAAAGCCCAAATCCATTCTCCTGAATGGGTAATTTTTTTACAGGAAATCACAGAAAATGCTGGGAACTGATCAAAAAAGCCACAAGTTCCAGTCATGTGACTACAGGATATTGCAACCAGTCTTAAATGTGAGCCAGTTGCCAAGTGCCCGAAATGTGGTCATTTGATTGTGATGAGATTTTATTACTGCTCAAAATGTTTGACAGGCCATAAAATACATTTTCCAAAGCTGTTGTAACTCTGAACAGTTGTTAAATGACCTATATCGTAAGTTAAGGACTACCTATAAAGTTTGGATGTTTAAAACAGTATTGAACATGGGAATAAACTTAACTGAAGAAACTGGAAATTCTTTTTGGGTAAATATATACAAGATCTTACTAAATTAGTAGATATAAATTAGGAAATCAAAATGGCATTGGTAAGTAAAACTAATTGTATATACCCGTGATGGTGAACGTATGGCATGCTGAGTCATATTGGTGGGCACGCAAGCATTGCCCTAGCTCAGCTCCAGCATGCGCACGCTGGTCAGCTGATTTTCAGGCCTTCTGGGCCCACCGGAAGTCGGCAAACGGGCTGTTTCCGGCCTCTGGGGATGTGGGGAAAGCTGTTTTCGCCCACCCCAGGCTCCTAGAAAGCCTCTGGAGCCTGGGGAGGGTGAAAAACAGGCCTACCAGGTCCACCGTGCCATCATATGCCAAAAGCGGGGGGAGCACCGGGGGTTTGCACGTGCATGCACGGGGGGGCCAGGGCACATAGAATTATGGGTGTGGGCATGTGTGCGCAACCACCTCGCACTCCCCCCGCTTTTGGCACGTGATGGCAAAAAGGTTAGCCCTCAGTGGTATATACTGTCTAAATAACAGTTGTAGTGCTCAAGGTTAGATGAAGTAAATAATTACAGGAAAAATACAGTAAAGTGCATTTACAGAAGTGATATCCATTGAGTTCAGTGTTGCTTACTTCCAGCTAAGTGAGCACAGATTTAGTGTAAATATGGTTTGACAACATCTGTATGTGTTATTTAGTTGAGACTAATTCATTAGTAGCCAAAAAAAGTTCAACTCTTGAGCAAGAGTTATATATCTTCAATGACTTTGTGCCTTAGGAAAGAAAAGAGGGAGGGTCAGGATGGGTGTCTGGATGTCTATGGAACATTATAACTGATGTGACCTGAACATCTATGCAGGTCATCACAATTGAAGTTTCTTGGATGAGAAATGAAACGGTTTTGTTCTTCCTCCTCAAGGAAAAAACAGTCCAAAAAGCACTTTTGAGATGGGTGTCTAGAGGGTTGGGTTTTGTTTTTTTTTACTCTAGCCCCCACCATTGGCTTGTTCCCAACAGATTGTTCCAAAGGAATTGCAATCTTCAACAGGAAAACAACTGTTCGTTCCACATAAATAGAATGTAACTCTGATGTTCTAATTCTCATTTTTTATATTAAGAAAAATATGAACGAATTGGAAATTGTAAATGTATGCCTAAAATTCTTGTGTGTGTTGTGGAGGTAGTAAAAAAATAATAATTCAGTTTTGTTAAGTAGCATGTTCTTGCTAGCCATTTTGATTTCTATTTTGTTCATTATATTTCTAATTTTGTGAAACAATTGGGTTTTGAACATGTTCTAAATGTACATTAATTAAATACAATAAAGGTATTCGCCCCAAAGAGATTAAACCTATACAGCAGGAAAGAGAGAGTGACTTTCTTTGATGCTGCAGTTCTATATTAATTGTGAGAAATGTCTTAATTGGAGTATGAGAGTGTACAGTATATCAATAACTCATGGTTTTATTGAAAAGAACTAGTAAAAACACAATGAAGGAAAATATTATCCCATGCCGAGGACTGGAGTAAAGTGTTCTGCTACCCTCCAGAATGAAACTTCATAGCGATTTCAGATTTTCTTAATTGGTTGGTGGAATAGAGCAGTTTAATTTGGGTGATCTGAAATAGTTTTTTTTTTTTTTTTGGTTGTAAAATAATTACAGTTCTTTCAAAGAAGTATGCATATTAAATTCTGTATATAATATATTTTACCATACAATTCAATTTTCTCAAGTGCTTTTAAATACACTGCTCAAAAAAATAAAGGGAACACAAGCAGAAGACATCCGAGATCTGAATGAATGAAATAGCCTTTTTAAATACTTTGTTCGTTACATACAGTAGTTTTGTGTTCCTTTTAGTTGTTTGAGCAGCGTATAAACTACTGTATGTAAAGAACAAAGTATTTAATAAGGCTATTTCATTCATTCAGATCTCAGATGTCTTCTGCTTGTGTTCCCTTTATTTTTTTGAGCAGTATATTTTTCCTTTATTTATTACAGTCTTTTAAAAGAAAGTCTACATCTATGGGTCTTGTAAAAAGAATCTAGGTTCCTTATTCTGATAAATAATGGACATGTTTTTATTAACGAAGATACTATATTGGAAAGCTACAAAGCTGGTCTAAAAACACAGAATACATTGCATTACCCCAAGTTCTATTAAGGCTATGTTCCAGTGAAGGTCTCTTAAGAACCCCTAATAATGTGTTCAACATTCATTTGCAGAGTTAAAGGTTCTGCTAGTGATAAACATTAGGAAAATAAGGAATATTCTGTTATCTTCTACATTATCAACTGGAACCATGTTGATTGTGAAATAATATCAAGCCCCATAGCTCTACCATAGATCCTATTCTATTCTCTAGTTGGTTTAAACCTATTCTCACTATTCTTTCCAAGCTTTGTATTGTAATGGAAATGGGAGATGGGTATAAGGAAGAGGAAGTCACGTTGCGGTGAAAACACCTGTCTTTGAAAAGAACCTGCGGGAAAATCTGTTGATTCAGCTGAGATTTAAATTTATTTTTGAGTGTGTAAACTGCCTGGAAAAAAGCCCACCCTAAGAATCACTGCATATGTGTTGAAATGTGACTTGTTTTTGTTGAGAAGATGCTCACTTTCAGGAAGAGGAAATGAGACTGCAGCCTCTGGAATACTACATGCATCATAATGTGCATTTTCACAAGTTCTGCACTACTATGCACTGCATAATGACTATGCTTTCAGAAGACGGAGATGGAGATCCACAATTTCCTTCTGGCATTCCCAGTGGCGTTTGCTCCTCCAAGTTTCTCCCTTCTTTGACCATCCCTGGCTGTTGTAATTGGTTCGGCTTATCAAGTTCTTTAGAGATAATGTTTTAGAATGCATTTTGCTCTGATGGTGAAGCTTCCATTCATGCTGAACAAATGAAAAACTCTCAACGCTTTATGACACAGTTTTAGTTGAACTTAAAAGATATTGAAGACAAAAATTGGTGCAGTTGACTTAGGATGTATGGGCTGCTGGGAGAGACTTGTTAATCATGGCCTCCACAGAGCTTTGGTGAAACGGTAAACCAGGTAATGGGTTTATAAATCTGGGTTTGGTAACTTTACTAGCTATGGCTGTCCTTTATTCGGTGTTTTTTTATGTGCTGTGACTATAAAATTAGATTTTTTTTTTTTTTAGTTTGCTGCCACCTCAGCTTTGGGCATTTTAGGAGAAATTAAACATGTAAAATAGGAGCTGTTTGCGATAAGGTAAGGTGAGAGACCATTATAGGGAGTCTTAAAGCGGCATGTGTAGTAAAGTCTCTGGTGAAAAGTAATTTTTCCAATGTGAACTTTCTAAGTAGTAGAATGAAAGTAGCACTGTTATCTATTTTGTTCATAAACCATTGCACTAAAGAACAGTAAAGCTGATATGGGTAAGACTGGTATCTTTTGATGCTAATTGCTGTCTTCCTTATTAAACACTGTTCCATTTATAAAATGGGAACAGACAACTCCAATCAGAGAAAATGTATAAAATTTTCCCCAAGAGGTCTCCATTCCTATTTTAATAGAGTTTAAAATTTTCTGGAAATCTGGATTAAAATCAGAGAACATTTCTAAAGAGTCTCCTTTCTAATCTAAAGTTAAACAGTCTTCAGCCCTTATAATCTGGAAAATACCTGATAATATGTGTTACTTTAGTATAACGGCTTTAGAAGGTATGGCCAGTCATGGAGACTTTAGTTTCAAAATGTAAACTGGTGAGATTTGGCATTCCAGTTAAGCATTAACAGTTACCTCAAAGTAAAAACCAATGCTTAAGTCTAGCATTTTGCTTTGTGTGGATGGATGGATGGATATTTTAAATATAAAAATATTTAGATGTGCTGTGGAACTTGGTAGATGCAAAGAGAACCCAGGACATAGAGCTTTACTTGAATACACTGGTCAGATTTTCCTCTTCTCCAAGAACCTGGGGGATTAACATTATGAGTAATATAAATGAATCAGACTTTAGCAGGCTCTGCAAAATCTGCTTTAATTTAGCCAGGTAGCAAGAGTATTATGAACTACTTGTACTGCTGCCTTTTGCTTCTTTCTTACTGTCATTACATCTTAAGCTGTGTACTGCAGTAAGATACTTTTTCTACAAGAAAATTCACTTCAGTGGCAATCTTATGAAATGTTTTTAGTATGTGTACCATATCCATTTTTCCTCATTTTGTGAAATCCCCCTGCCCAATTGTGTGTGCTGAGAATATCATTTTCTTTCTGATATCTCTAGCCCACCTTAGCAAGGTCTAAAGCACAAACTATTTTGAGCATAATACTTTTCCCATTATAATTTTTCTTTAATGTTAGAAAAACCTACTCTTTCCTGTGGTTGTAGGTGGAGCTTCAACTCAAAGTAAATTGTTCTACCCCACCAACCAACACTTCATAAATAAAATTGTAAAGACATTATTTGTAGATATTTTATTCTGGGAACTATAGTCCAAGATATGTGGAGGGACTACTTTGGGTAAGATTAAAGTGGAAGGATGCTAGTCTAATTGTAGCGGAGGAAATGTCTGCAGGTATGTGAATTGTACTTTGAATTTGCTAGCCATTGTATCATTAAATGTACTTCCTGGTTCTCTCAACTTGTGCAGTTTTTACATTGTATGTACACACTATGCATAGACATACTCCCATACAGACAACTGAGTATTATTTTGCATTTGCACCTTACAATTTCAATGAATTAAAAAAACAACATGAACTTTGCTTTTCTATTTTGCTGGTGTTTTATGTTGCTGGGATAACGCAGCCTCTTGTGCACACACCCAAATTCATTTCCCTTCCCCTGTTAGCTTAATGTTATCTTTTCCCTGTCAACCTCTGCCCCCAGAATGAGTTGTTTGACTGTCTTTCCATTTATTTAATTGTGAGAATTCTAGTCCTGAGCCCTGTAGGACTGCTGCCTTGGCCCTTGTAGCTGGCATTGGAATGAACACCCATGAGATTTGTATGCAGGTTGAGAAGCATGCATTTATTTTCATATGTATTTTTGGGAAACAATTTGCTGTGGCTTCACTGGCCTGCAGTAGTATGAATTTAAAAATAGTGCCCTTTGCAGTGATTGAATATGTGTATTGAACTGGCTGGGCAAATGCGAGAGGGAGGAGCTAAGTATTCAGTAGTAGAATTTGTCTTCATAGATAGATGCCTATCAGTCGAGGTCTTGAGAATAGCTATGTGGCAGGTTGCATGAGCAGGTCATGCTAGTTCTGTATGAGTTCAAGACTGGCAGTTGTAAATTATCACAGCATTATACTCTGAGCAGTTGTTGCATTTTTTTAAAAGTTCAAGATGTTTCTAATATATACAGTCCTGCTTAGGAAGGGGTTGGGGGTGAATCGTCATTCTCAAATGCTAAATTTGCTGTTTATGTTTTTTATGGTGTTTGATTTTAAACAGCAAAATGGACTGGGCTGGGAAACATAATGGTCCAAATGATTCATCTAGTGATGGAACAGTACGATTGCGTGGTCTGCCATTTGGCTGCAGCAAGGAGGAGATCGTTCAGTTCTTTCAAGGTAGCTCTAGTGTTAATGTCAAGTGACTTTCAGTGTTTCTATGTCTGCAAGATTGATATTTGAAACAGCTTAAAATTTTATTAGTATTGGGGGAGGGGGAATCAGTCTTTAAAATTTAGATTACTAATGTTGGTATTCTTTGTTAAAACTCTACTAAAAAGTAAAGAGTTTGCATTGGCAGGATAAAAATTTACACATTTAGATAGCCTATTAGGAGTCAGAATTTGGAGTATGTAGTTATGACATCATGTAGTATAGGTGGGTTCTTTGTGATGTAGCTGTTGCTGTGTAATCTGAACAAAGAGACAGTAATACAATGTCTAAATGAAAACTCTTTAGCCTGTGTATTTGGGTTGGGGGGAAGCTAAGCTATTTTCTTGCATTTGTGTAGATTTGCTTTAAGTATTTTCTACAGATGGGAATGTTTCAGACTTTAACACTCTTCCCCTTGATGGGGTTATTTGTCCTTGGGTTAAAGGGTTGGAAATCGTGCCAAATGGGATAACATTGACGCTGGACTACCAGGGGAGAAGCACAGGGGAGGCCTTCGTGCAGTTTGCTTCAAAGGAGATAGCAGAAAAAGCTCTGGGGAAACACAAGGAAAGAATAGGGCACAGGTGGGGATGGAGAGTTTGGGATGGTAAATATTTTGTGGGGGTTGGGGGTCAGAATTGCTTTTGGGGGGCTGGGGTACATAAGTCAACTGGCTATTTTTTTTAAAGAAAAACACCCTAAGTAACTGGGAGTAAAATAGATGTGGTGGGAGGGGGATTGATAATACTACGTAGCTTGCTAAAATTGGGCTAGTTTTGTTTGTTTGTTTGTTTTTTGTGGAGGGTGTTCTATAATAGCCAGAGTTTTTTCAAAGAACTTTTTACTGGGGCAGGGGGGAGTGTGGTTCAGAGAATTGCTGTATTTAATTTGCAGTTAGAATTTTTAGTCAGTAAAGTAAATCACAGAACTGCTTGCTTTTGCATTTAATATCCTAAATGTGACACTGGAAAAAAAGTGTTCACTTGCCTTCAATGCTATATCTAGATTTAAAAAATTTTAAATGTGCAGTTATTGTATTTTTTCCAAGTGTTATATATCTGTATTCTTACATTTGTACATTGTAAATCTTTTTTTACTCAGATATATTGAGATCTTCAAAAGTAGTAGGAGTGAAATCCGAGGATTCTATGATCCACCCCGAAGAATGATGGGACAGCGACCCGGACCATATGATAGACCAATGGGAGGAAGAGGGGGTTATTATGGAGCTGGGCGTGGAAGTATGTATGACAGAATCCATCGAGGAGGTGGTGGATATGACGGTGGTATGTGTATCTAATGACCACAGGCTCTTGTCATTTTCATGTTCCTGACATTTTGTCAAGAAATACAGAAATGACAGTAATTATAATACATACCAAGTCTGAAACCTGGCTATATTTCACTTTGTTTATACCAGCCATATGACTTGAGATTGAAAAGATATGGAGAGGCATTTGAAATGAGATTTTAAATATGACTGAAACTTGGTTTGCATGTCTTTGAGCCTGTTATGTCTACATAGAAATGTTTGTATTTCATTTCAAATCAGTTTGGTTCTAAGCTTACATCCTTTTTGGTGTTTAAAGACTCTTCACAGTCTGTCCCCCTCTTAAATCTCACAGGATATGGTGGCTTTGATGAGTATGGTGGCTATAACAATTATGCCTATGGAAATGATGGCTATGACGACAGAATGAGAGATGGGAGAGGTAAGAAAAAATGTTACCGTGTTGTTCAGCTGTCTATTGTAGACTTGGCTAGAGATAGGGATATTGCTTTGATGTTTTCAGTATCCTGTTTATAAACAGTTGGGTACAAGAAATGGTATCTCTAATTCTGTTGTTAGTACAGGAATTGATTGGCTCACTTAGAATACTGCAATTGTACTTTACTTTTTTAGAGGAGGCAGCGCATATCCTCAGTCAAGAGTCAGTTATGCCTTCATGGACCTGTTTTGCTTTTAGGAATGGGAGGTCATGGCTATGGTGGAGCAGGAGATGCAAGTTCAGGTTTCCATGGTGGTCATTTTGTTCACATGAGAGGTTTGCCTTTTCGAGCCACTGAAAATGATATTGCTAATGTGAGTATTGTTGAAAATATTTCTAGCTGAAACAAGAGATGAAAAGTTTCACATCTGGAATCAGATGCAACTGTTTTAAAGTATCAAGAAGTTTCAGAGTAACCTTCCTTTTTTTTTTCTTTGGAGAATTTAAAAAACACATAAATTACGGTTATTAAATGTGTGTGTTACTTTTAGTAATTGAATGATTAGTGGTGTTTGAAAGTAACTGAAGTGCACGTTTCATGTTAGAATTCGCCTTGGGGTGGGGAGATTTTACATAATTAAACAGAAGGAGAAAAAAAAATGCAAAAGAAAAAGAAACCCCAGTATTTGATTTATATCCCCATCTTCTCTGACAAAATTATTCAGAAAGGTTTGTAAATCTGATAATCAAAATTTTAAACAGTTGTTATTACAATTAAATGATACACATATAAATTACAAATACTGTAGTCAAAATTAGAGAATTTCTAATAGGAAATATAAGAACTTATTATAAATACTGTCACTATTATTCAATTTCTTTTAACTAGCCATGCAATCTATATCTGTTTGAAACTTGATGTTGGTATCATCAATCAGTTGTCAGTTAAATGTAATATAGAAATATAGCTATTAGGAGATACCTAAGTTGTGTGATTCTTCTATGCTGATGAATTTGTATTTTTCTTGCTAAGGGGGCTGGAAATCTTCAAATGAAGGCAAGCTTATAAAAGGGGTGGCCATAATATAAATTAGTATTTAGGGACTTAGTGGGAAGGATGTTAAATAGTAGCAACAGTATAATAGATAGGTAAATCTGGGAGGGGACCTGCTAATTGTAGCCAGTATACTGATCGGACACAAGTTGCTGAAAAGAAGAATATTTTGATTTGAAAATAACTGCAGGTTAATGCAAAAATGTAAATATTGTATGTAAATTTATATCAGCTCAGTTACTTCTCTTGATATTTCAGCGTCATTCCAGTGTATGGTTTACAGATATACGACCCAAAGCAGCAGCACATTTTTTACATTTTTCTGTACACAAAAAGCAACTATGGGAATAATTGCATATGCTGTTGCATATTAAAGAAGTTATATGCTTTATTAAAACTGTCGTGTACTCTAATCAATACTCTCCTAGTCAGTTTGTTTTAATTTATTGGCTACCCAACTCTAAGAGATTTCATAATAATAACTAATGGATCTGCAGAATCAAGATTTGTACTGTAAAACCTATATGCATGGGAGAAGTGTGATTTATTTTACACAACTATGTGCATCTTGGACATGACAGACTTAAAATAATGGATTAATTTGAGGAGTTTTAACTTACTGCTTTCTTTTAGTTTTTCTCACCACTGACTCCTATAAGGGTTCATATTGACATTGGAGCAGATGGAAGAGCAACTGGAGAGGCTGATGTGGAATTTATGACACATGAAGATGCAGTAGCTGCCATGTCTAAAGATAAAAACCATATGCGTAAGTTACAGTAAATAGGTCTGAAGTTTTGTACATTTCCCCTTGATTTTGTACAGGTAATTGTAACACTTGCATTTATGGGAGTAAGCTTTTTATTCTTTTAAAGAGCATCGATACATCGAGCTATTCCTCAATTCAACTGCTGGAGGTGGTTCTGGAATGGGTGGCTATGGTAGAGATGCCATGGGTAGGTTTAATTTCAGATTTTTAATTCAATTTCAGTCTATACAGGATTTCTAGAGACTAATGGTAGCTGCTCTTTTCCAGAGCAAGGTGGTTATGGTTCCGTTGGAAGAATGGGAATGGGTAGCAGTTACACTGGAGGATATGGTACTCCTGATGGATTGGGTGGCTATGGTAAGATTTTGTTTTGTTTAATATTAAGATATTGGTTTTAAATCTCCACCAGTACTTTGCATTGCATGAAGAACTAAGAATGCAGTATAGCTTCCATGCTCGGAAGGCATGAGTGGCATCATAAGGGTGGTAAGATTTCTTTCATTGGTATAGGTGGATATAAAGTTTAAATGATATTAACTACAGGAATAAAAGTGTTGCGGTTATTTTGTAGGTCGTGGCAGCGGAAATAGTGGTGGATATTACGGGCAAGGCAACATGGGAGGAGGTGGCTGGCGTGGAATGTATTGAAGAGTGTCATTGTGTCTCCAAAGCGTGTTGGAAGGAAACAGTACTTGGTCTACTAGGCTTTCTTACAAAACTTAAATTTCTTTTGTATTGAAAACTTTATAATGACTGAAGGAATGTGTTTTCCCATTATTTGGTAAGCATCAGATTGTGATGGGGAAATCTGTTTTCTGTAGGTTTTATTTGTTGCATACTCTGACTTTAAATAAATTTTTTATATTCAAACCACTGATGTTGATAGTTTTTATACTAGCTCCTCCTGAAGATAGTTGCGTATTCTAGGATTTTGTTTAAGAAATTTGGTTCATTAAAAGCACTTGTACTGGAAGATTATATTATTGATTCTACATCTATGAAATGAAATAACCATCAGATTTATGTTACATTTGTTGAGGTTTGGAATGAAAGCAAGTATTAAGTGTTAATAAATTGTTTGTCAATGAAAACTAATTCAATGAAAACTAATGGAAGAATGTCTGAAAATAGTGCAGGACATGAAGGCCATGAATTAAAATTCTGAAATGACCTAAGGCACAACTGCTACACATGCCGTCTGAGCAATGTGTATATCAGAATTTTCATAATATTTAAAATATATTGATAAACATGGTCTGAAACTTCACTTTGTTTTCTTGGCAATTAAAGTTTGAGATAAGTTATTAATAGATACTATATGAGAAAGATATGGGAGAAAAGCAGAGAGCTGTGGACTATAGTAACATTGATAGAGAAGTAACTGTTACAGTTCTTAAAAATAAAACAATTGACTTAAGGATACCAGTTCTATTGCTGAAGATACCGATGTAAGGATTGTGGCCAATCTGACAACCAACAATATATCCACCTAAAAGTCTGATGGATTATATAAGTAGTCCTCTTGCTTTGCATTTTTAATATGTAAGATTGTTTGGATGGAATACTGTTTAGCCACATAAGCATTTTCTGTGTTTTGAAGAAAAGGTACTAATATTCAAGGAGATTTTTTTGTTTTAATTGCTTGTCCTCCAGATTCTTCTGAATAATTTGTCAAATGTGATAAATTGAAAGTTTGTTGCCTGTTTTTGCTAGTAATGTTATGTATGTAATAAATGTCTTGTGGGAGATAGCAAAATAGATTTCATTCTAGGACATGTGTTGTGTCAATTTATCTAATTGAAGGGCAAACAATACAAATCTTAAATCTTTTCTACTTTGTACAAAATTTTGTATAGAGAAACACTTTTTTAGGTTTATACTAAAAATGGAAGTAATTTAGATCCATAAGAAGGGCTCTTTTTTGGTTGAGCATATTTGCATCAAGGCTTGATGCTTAATACTGTAGAGAGTTCAGTATGAGAATTTCATGGGTCATAGAAAAATAAAAAAAGATTCAAATTTATATTCAATACTATGATTCCAAAGCTAAAAATGTTAATTTGTAGATAAGTTTTATTCTCAGTAAAGTTTGTACAGACAGCAGCCACGTATGTCGTACTAGCCATATTTGATTATGAAGATACACTTGTTTGCAAATCTTAGGATCCTAAACGGTTTTACAGAATAAATGAAATAGGAAAAACAAAGGTGAGATCCATGATTTCAGTGTGCTTTACTCAATGCACTGTGTCTTCCAAGAAGAGTACTAGGAGGTGGTTTAGTAAAATTAATTTTAATATTTTAAAATTAATATTAGTTTCAGGGAGGCAATATATTGATGTACTGTAGTCCTTATAAAGTAAACCATCCTTAAAATATTAACATCATTTAGTTTTATCATAAAAACTAAATTATGCCTTTTTTCCACTATAGCAGGGCTGTCAAACTCACATTGTCACATGTTATATTGGGACTTTCCCCCCCTTTACTAAACTGGGTGTGGGGGTGGCCAGTTCATGACGCATCCGGGCTGTGAGTTTGACAGCCCTGCTCTATAGTGTTGGATCAAAAAGAGGGTTAAAACAGCTTTGCCTGAATACAGTGAGCAAATGGGAGCCTTAATAAGGAGGCTCCTTTAATAATAGGTTCAAGTGTTGAACACTCAAGTGTTAGAAAAAATCCTAACATTCAAGTGGCATCTGCCTCTGAATTACTAAGCTTGTTAGTAATAGTACAAAGGGTAGTGTGTATTAACAGGATCATACAGTCAGATTCATAAAGATGTGTCCATCAAAGCAAGGACTTCATTATTTAAGCCTCTGATAACCAATATATTGATACTTTGGCTCAAAAGAGGCAAGGGGGATGGATCATTCTAGCATCAGTTTCATTCTTCATTCTAAATAAGGGTGCATTCTAAGATTAATGCAACTGAATCAGGTTCCCACACATTCAGAGTGTCAGTATCTGTATGGAAGACTGTTATTTTCTACTTCAAGATTTCTTATGTAGCATTAGCATGACTCATAACAAAACCTACAAGTCCCTTAATGAGATTACTTTTTGTAAACATTAGTGCTATACACCTTCTGGTCACATGGGACCAATATAGCTGTGATAAATGTTTCGCAAATTTACTGGGAATATTTTTTTTTTATTTAATGGAAATATGTGTGTATCAACTGCTATTACACAAGCAGTTACATAACAACAAAGTGAATGATTTGAGCACCAGGACAAGCTGAAAATTGTTGAATATTTTTTCCAATGTTTACAAACACTTGTATTTTAAATTAATCAAATTTTATTTATGGTCATTGACCAAAATTTCATGTAAAATGCCAAACATCAAACGCATAATAAAGTAAAATGCTAAAAGACAAAAACTTTCTGACATGGAACAGTATCAGAATTATTAGATATAATTATATAGTTACCCATTTCACCAATTGTGACCGAACACTACTTTCTTTTGAGATTTCTAAGAATTTAGTAGCTGATAACCGTAGTATAATACATTCCACGATACAATTGGAGTAAATTACAAGAAAGGGCGATATTAATTCAGAGCATCATGTATGGCACAATAGTATGTGTGATGGTGAGTGAATGACACCCTCCAAGCAATTCTTTAAGGGAAGAAAAGGTTGCTAGGCCTCCTTTCCAGAAACCTTGATGACTTGGCATTAAGCCTAGAAAGTCTAAAACAACTACCTGTAAAGGACAGTTGAGAATGTGGTATAAATAACATTCTTTTCCAAAGGCTAAGCTTAAACACCAGTAAGAAATTCTGTTCCCCTCTGTAAGTCTAGACCCAGAATGCATGTCTTTTTGATGTCTTTTAAGGACTCTTGGAATCTTTAAGGATTTCCAGATATTGGATTGAGAAGCTGTAGTAGTCAACCTTGAAGCTGTGCTTTTTTAAAAAAAAAATTAAAAAACCTTTCAAAATATTACAAAATATGCAGTCAATTTAAAATCTTGGTGTATTTCCACCACAGAAATTAACAGCTTGTTCTTAGACAATGTTTGTACATAAGAAATGGATAATGAAATGGAATTTGATGAAGATTCTAAGCTCATATTTCTTCAAAGGCTGGATGGTTTTGATCAAATGTATCACCTGAAATTGAAGAGGAGCTGATTTTACAGCCAATAAAATTACTCATTTGGAATCAGTTCCCCAAATATTTCAGAGCCTGTCTGCAATTATTAAGTATATATGTGTCTTTTCTCAGAATTGTACCTTTCTTGCAAACCCATGTAAGAACATACTTAAAGAACTGTTAGTGACAAGTGTCATGTCCAAAGCATTATTTGGGAATTGAATCACTTCACAGCCCTGCTGATTAAGCAATAAAGTTCAACCATCCCACAGCTGATGGGGAGAGGGAGAATAATAAACGATCATGTGTTAAAGTTAATAACTCATGAGCTTGTAATTATTAGAACATTTATTTTAAAAATCAGTTGTATGGTAGTTAAGGCTTACTTTGACATTTTGATACAAGAATTTCAGAATTATCAAGTTGGAAACTACCTTTCTCCCTTAAGAGTCCTCCTCATAGTAAAGTAGAATTTCTCAGCTTCAGCAGCTAGGATGTGTGGCCTTCAACTCCCAGAATTCCCCAGCCAGTACTAAGAATCCAGTCTCTCATAACTGAGAACTCATCAATTCATGTGGTTGCCTGGTTCTATCCCAACAGCTTTTTATAGACAGGGAGTTCCCCAGTAATTTCTTGTACTATCTCAAACCTATAAAAAGTTATCTATGTTTTAGATAGTATCCCTTGAATACTGAAAACTAATTAAAATTACAGAACAGCACATCACTGCACCAAATTTTATAGACCTCAGTAGTTATATTTGCCTTTCATGGATCCTGTACTGATCTTATATTGCAACTCCATATTTTTTTAATACATCTGGAAGGCACCCAGTTGTGAAAGAGGAATCAAAAAGAGGAAGATTCAAAAAGGGGTGGTTGGTTTAGAATAGATCAATCCAATGGAAAAACGCATTGTAGCTTTTCAATAGGCAAGGCTTTCACGTTAAAAACTGTTCTCAACATCTATTAGAAACAACCCACCGTTACAACAAGACTACCATTTTTTAAAATTACACCCTCCATTTTTCAAGTAAAATTGTTAATTACATAACAGTGGTTTTCCAAAAAGTTGATTTAAACAAAGAATCTTCACTTTCCTACAAGACAAATAAAAGCAACCCTATCTTGGCCTGTTCTGTTAACAATTCATTTGGCAATTGGCTATTTTGTAATTTATATTCCTTATAGATCATTTTGAATAACTTTTTACATTAAAAAGAAGTGCAAATAGTTTGTGCGTAAGTATAAAAGCTCTATCTATACAAAAAATCCAGCTAGGCTTGTCTCTAAAATGAGTTTTTGGAGACAATTTTTAAGATACATTCTTTTCGCAAGTCTACCCCAACCAATCTTATACAATAGATGGAGAACTCATCTAAAGTTGCTACTCTGCCAATCTTTTTATAAAGTGGCATTGCTTGTCTGACAACCATGGTGTAGGAAAGAGACATCTCTCAAGTGTGCCTACTACTCTTCCTTGATATTATTTTGCAACTATTGTAAATGCTGCATGTTAACCAGTTTTGGTTTTTTTAAATTTGATTTATATGCCACCCTTCTCTGGAGACTCAGGGCGGCTTACAATGCGTTAAGCAACAGTTGGGGAAGTTAACCATGGATTTTGATTCCAGAGGTTTAACACGATAAGAGACCCTTCTCTCCCTAACCTTTCTCATCTGAACCTACAAATGGAAATCATTCAGCCCTAAGCAGTCTGTTCTAGATCAGGGATCTCCAACCTTGGCAACTTTAAGACTTGTAGACTTCAACTCCCAGAATTCCTCAGGCAGCTTTGCTGGCTGAAGAATTCTGGGAGTTGAAGTCTACAAGTCTTAAAATTGCCAAGATTGGAGACCCCTTGTTCTAGATGGATCCTCAACATGAATTTCCCCATGAGAAGCATATCCTTCCATCTTGCTAAACTAGATCCTCTAACTCCTACCTACTACATTCACTATAAAGCTGCATAAACCGTTGCCCAGAAGCTGGAATCAGAGGCCAACTTGTGTACAAACACCGGAAAAAATAACCGAGTTCTGCCACCTGAACAAATATATGTTTATAATTTGCCTAATTCAACTTTGCCCACACGTAAGCAACAATGCTTTTTCAGTGGAAGTGTCAGGGAGGACACCAAACTATACAAATAGTGCAGTAGATGTAAACGTTATCCAGCTCCAATTTCAGCTTCTCGGCTTCCCCTGTTCTCAGCATAAAGCTTTCATTACAAGGTCAGTCCTGCACCACATACTAGAATAGCCCTCTGACAACAAAAAATAACAGAAACAGAACTGCAAAGCAGATGCATTTCAATCATTGCCTCAGCACAACTGTACAAAACAAGACTTTGATTCTGGTATTGCAAGAACAATGGCACAAAGACGTAGTTTCCATTATTTTGACATTAAGGGCATTAAGCCGGAATTGCAGTAATATATATATAAGCAGCCAACACGACAGCACTCATCCTCCTAGCGAGAATGTTTTATAACTTCTGCAGAAGACTTAGGGCATATTGGAGGAACATCTTTGTATGAGTAGTGCATGACAGGAGTCACAGACGCGAACCGGCTTTGGTGAAGATGGCAAAGGCAACTCGTTGTCAGAGCAGGCATTGCAGAAAATTTCCCCACAGTTTCTACAATGATGCTAAATAAAATAAAAAAGATTTTTATGCCAATATAATTTGTCTACTAAGCAATAAGTAACCAATGATAACCGGTCTACCAACCTAGATACCTATTTTTGTGAGTTAAAAATAAATGTTCTCTACCAAACCTTAAAAGGTATTTTATTTGGAAAATCATTACAGGAATTATCCCAATTTATTGACTGCTACGTACAGAACTGGTAAAATAGCTACCCTAAAATTTCTACAGCATATTTTCAGAGAAAACTGAGCCAGCCAAATGGCTGATAAAAATGTCCAAGCACAGGGGTGTCAAACTTGATTTCATTGAGGGCAGCATCAGGGTTGTGTTTGGCCTCGGGGGGGGGGGGGCGGGGGGGGCGTGGCTAGCTCAACATCACTCGTGTCGGGGCACTTGTGGTGGCCCAATGCTCTGCCAGCAAAAACGGGCTCCCAAGCTCCATGTTTGGCTGCGACGGCTTCCTGCAACCCTCTGCCAGCAAAAATGGAGCCCAGGAGGGCCGTGGGCGGCCCTCCCTAGCTCCATTTTTGCTGGCAGAGGCACCACAGGCCAGTCCTTTGCTGTTTCTAGGACAGCCCCTCAGGCCAGATTTAAGCACCCTGCGGGCCAGATCTGGCCCCGGGCTTTGAGTTTGACACCCCTGATCTAGTGAGTGAAAATATGTTTTTATTCATAGCAACTGATAAAATTTACTGCACGTAATGAGCAGTACATCTTCTGGCACTTGATACATTGCCAGGTTTTAATCATTTTTAATTAATAAAAGACAAGATGACTTTTAATATAAACTCACCTTCCTCTTGGAAAGAGAAAATTCTTTTTCACATAATTTGCAGTGAGTAGCTTCTTTGTCCTTCAACCAGACCAGGCCCTAGTGAGGAGAAAAGACGCTGTCTGAACCAAACCACTCAGGTGCAAAACTATTGTTTTGTTACACGCCATTCAGGATTTACCAAAGGGCAACATTTGCAGAGTAAGCCTTTCCTAAGCAGATCAGAAATCTTTCAGTAGAAATTGTATTCTTTAAAACCAGAGTTTAAGTTCAGAGAAAGGGAATGGACTTCACTGCAAAAGTTATGTGTGAATTTGTTGATCCTCATCTGAAATATACTGAAATAGCGTTTTAAAAAAATAAAGCTAGGAACAGAATAAAGATATACCAAAACATTTAAAAATTGAAATAGGTGTTCCCATCTTAACTGAAAGTTAAGATATTCTTTTAGAAAATTTGAAACACCAGTGTAAGCCTCCCGGTGCTTCTGGAGTAGCATCTGGTAACATCAGACCAACATATCTCAAATTGAAAATATTTTGTACACGCTGAAATAGAACCCAAATGCACAGTGACAATAGTCATATAACAATTTATGCTCCAATTTACAAAGGAACCTGTAAGTTTAAGGCAGAAAAGCTAATACTTTAAATTAATGAAAGAACCAACTCGGATTATCGGTTACCACCCCAAATATTACTAACCTGAAGTGTTTTGTTTGCTTCTTTTATGTCTTCTATTTTAAGCTTTGATCTAAAGAGAAGACATGATTTAGAAATTACGGGCAATAAAAGTAAGGGGCACATACATCAGTACTTTTAGAGATTCTAGTCTGGAATCAAATGGTGCAGAAGCTCACCCCTTTTCCTACTCATTGTGTACCTGCGGATAATAAATTCACTAAAACCATTGTCATTTCTGGAATTAACTAAGTTGTGTGTTACTATGGAGATTATCAGGCCCTATGAGTTCCACCCTGATCCCAATTTCCAAGCTAAATTAGCGTGAACTGCGCGCTTTATAAGGAGAAGATGAACAGGTAATTAATTGATAAGACACTTTGGAATAATTTCTCCCAAATAGCCCAGAAAGAGACTTTTTCATAACTAGCCAAAATCATCTCTTTAAGAAGGCCTTCCTTATTTCTGGATAGGTGTCTTCACTGTGAGACTCCTATTTATTTGTATGGTTCTGTTTATATTAAACTACCTCACGTCCACCAGAGGCGGTCTTCAAATATTGAAAATAAAAGGGTAATTTATATACCCCAAAATTTAAACTCTTGGAGGTTTACAATACTCATGGCAATGGGAATGCTGCTGGGAAGAAGGGTCACGCTAATGTTTGAAGAGACAAAGATTCTGAGCCTGTGGATGGTATCAAAGAGAAAAGCTACGACGAGGACACTTCCTATTAACAAATTGGAAACATCATTCTTAGCAACTCGGGAATACAGTGCAAGAAACTGGCTGCACTGAGCAACAACTGCTGTTTTAGACATAAAGTTGGATGCTGCCACGCTGACAGTCCAAATGAAAAATGACTATATTTAAACAATAACATTTCCTAACTAGAAAACTGGCTATGTGAAAATGGTGACTAAAAAAAATTGACTCTTCTGATCAATAAAAAAAAGCTCAGAATATTTCGGGGGGGAGGGGGGAATGACAAACATGCTTTTCTTTTTTTGGGAAATCTAACAAAAGAGATTCTGGATTTTGAAAGTGTGTATTTCTCTTGAGACCATAACACCTAATATAGTTACCGCACATAATTGTTCACTTTTATCTGATGTCAATTACAAGGTACCCTGAAACCCAGAATTCCTTTAAGTGACCTAATAGATTGGTAGTTTGATTTGAAGGGAAATAAAGAACCTGGCTTTGCTTTCAGAATTTGTATATTTGTATTATTCCTATAATATTTGATGAATTTATTTCTTTACCCGTTTTGTTATTTAAATAAGTACTTGTTCATTTTTTGTGATGACAAACTGCTGGAAGCTCTGGTCACTTTAAATATTTAAATTGTAATTTAGGATTCAGACACATGAAAGAATTCAAAATGAAAGCTCAGTAACATCAAGATATGAAATAAAAGTATCTCATTGTCTGTTTTAGAGCCCAATCTTAACTGTGGGACCATTCAGAAGTCAATCTCACTTAGCCTAGATATCTTGCAAGTAGAAAAAAAAGCTAAGCGAAGATGGTTTGGTTGTTTTCAAACTAATTTTTCTTTAGAGCATCTTATTTTTACTGTTTCTTTATAATATGTATCAATAAACTAATTCATTTCAGTTCTGAAATTCTGAGGCTGAATTCTTTATTACTTGAATACCACACACTAGTATTCTTCTTAGGGTTAGATGGGCTGTATAAACTGTACATTAAAGGCTTATCTTGAATAAAATTCATAGAAGGACCAATAATACCTGGAAAACATACTTCTTTCTCCCACACAAGTAGGTGTATATGTGGCATCTACTGCCCATGGAAGCTTCTGAAGATCTGGATACCTAGCAAGCTGACTTGGCTGTTAATTTTCACAACAGTCTGAATACATGTCATGTGCCAATGGAGCAGGAGTGGGCAACTATGCTGGCTCAGGAATCTGGGAATCCACAGGTCATAAAGTTGCCCACTCCTGCAAAAGAATATGAAATGCTTAAATTATAAATGATTCCTAATTAGTCCATTCCACATTGGGATACCTGGATAATTATGCCTCTTCCCTTTAAAAGAAAAAAAGGAAAATTACTCGCTAAGTTTGCCGGCTAATTCTTGGAGAGCTTCTTCTTGATCATGACAAAGATTTCTCAACTGCTTGTTTTTTCCCTGTAACTTTACGAATTCCTTAAATAGAAACAAACATAATTAATTGATACACAAAGTACAACAATAATTGACATTGAGAAATGTACATCAGGCATTTCTTTGGTTCAAATAGGCGCTCAACGAAAACTGGATTATCACATATTGATACCCACAAACTATTATTCAGAGGCAAGTGAAGGAATAAGGATTCATTTTATGTCAGAGCAGGATAGATCATGTTTTTCAACCTTAACAAGTTTAAGATGTGTGGACTTCAACTCCCAGAATTCCTCAGCCAGCATGCTGACTGCAAAATTCTGGGAACGGAAGTTCACACGTCTTAAATTTGCCAAGGTTGAAAAGCATTCGGATAGAGGAAAACAGGAAAAGCATCTGAACTGAGGCACAATTGTTTCTAGGGAGTGATGTGAAACAATATATCTTCAGCCAGCACCCTGAGACTTCAAATCCAGGAAAAAAGCAAGTGATTTCTCTTCATTCCAAGACAGAATGATTCTGACTTATCAAATGCTTGGATGGACGGAGGGATGGATGCAGGGGTGAAATGCTACCGGTTCACTGGAACCGTTAGTAAAAAAATGCTTAAAAAAGTAAAAAAAAAAAAAAAGATCAGCTGTGCGACAATCAGCTGTGCCATGCGATTTATATTCACTAGAAAGCGGGGAATACTGCTTTCTAGCGAATCTAAATCGCACGGCACAACTGTTCCCCCCCTCCTCACTGTTCTACTTTGTCGAGTCAGAAAGGCTTCTTAGCGCCTGCGATGTGCATGTGAGCATGCATGCGCGAAGCAAACCCGTAGCAGACTTCAGAGCATTTCACCCCTGGATGGATGGATGGATGGACAGAGTGGTGGGATTTACCAGTTCGCACCACTTCGGGAGAACCGGTTGTTAACTTTCTGTGCAGTTTGATGAACTTTCTGAGCAGTTTGATGGTTGTTGGAAGAAATCATTAGGGCAGAGAACCGGTGGTTAAATTATTTGAATCCCACCACTGGATGGATGGATGGATGGATGGATGGATGGATGACCATAACTTCCATGTAACACAACAGAAATGTTTACTTTGCATTGTGGACAGCTAAACATAAAATACGTCTTTGAATAAGACCAATCTCCCGCCATGGTTTTCACACATGTTCCTTGTGTGGACAAACCTCTTCAGAGAGCCACTTGTGCTGATTTAATCAACTGAGTCAAGAAAAGCATTAACAATATTGGAGAAATACTGTACTCTTAGTTATAATAGGTAAAAAGGTGGGTGGAACAAAAGACAAATGGAATATTTTTTTTTTAAAAAAAGGAAAGAAAACAATGACAACTTTGCTCAAGCTAAGTAATGTGAGGACTAGAACATGAGAATTTTTAGAGAGAGATATAGCAATAAAATAAGAACTTCCAGGAATGTCCCAACTGAGAGCATACTTGTTTGAGCAAAGTTAGAACTTCTGTGAATCGCAGCCTCAAAGTAATGGACAGATTATAAGTATATGCAGGGACCGTCAAAAAAAGTCAAGATGGCTCTCATCACATGACTAGGCTTCGATAGTGTAGTTGCAGCCATCTTTGTTTTTAATGGCCCCCTGCATGATGCCAATATATGAAAATTAAGAATCCCACATTAATTCTGTAAAATATCTAAAAGTAAAAGGAAATGCTAGTAAGCACTGATTGTTAATGTGAAGGTTGATAGGCTTAGAAAAGTATACTATGTCTGAATATTCCCATTTGATGAAACCGATTTCATTTCCACCTCTGGGTGAAACAAAGGCCCTGACTTCTAAACAAAATTTATCAGCTCACCTTACAAATGGCCATTTAGTGAATATTAGGCACTTTTAATATATCTTCGGAGCTACTGATCAGGATCAGGATTCCCTCTTTTCCGCCACCCCCACCCATGTATAAGTGGTTGAAAATAACATTTTTGCTTGCCCCCGCAAAGACCCAGTTTTCCACATTTTCCAGTCTGCAGCCTCTATCAAGGGAAGCTTCAGGCAAAAAAATTTTGCCAGCTCTCACCCTGGAAGTCTCCCACAGCCCACCTGCTTGTGGCCCTTTACCCAGGTCCCCTCACAACCACCTCATGAAGCGTGCAAAGGCCCTCTCTGGTCTACCCTGTCCCTGTACTGTTTTTAATCAAGATTCATGTTTTGAGAAATTACTTTTTTAAGTGTAATGATTTGCTGAGTCTCTGTTTGTAGAAAACAAGTCGTTTCTTTTTCCTTTTTAAGGTCCTCTTCCATGGTTTGTCTCCATTCTCTTTCTATTTTCAAATCTGTCTCCAACTGACACCTAAAAATATAGAATATTTTAAAAATTCATTCAAGCTGGAAGAATGTTTTCAAAGCATTAGCTTCATTTTAATTAATGTAATCTTTTAATTAGTTCCAGACACCACATGATAAATATTTAATCTCCTTTAAATCATAGCATTAATCTAATTATAGGTACTTGAGATGCTCAATAGACCTCAGTCTGGTTGAGACGAGCCCTCTCCCGGTGCTTCTCAGGCTATCACAGGAAAGAAGCTGTGGATTTAGTCTCTGTAAGGCCCAAAAGTACGACAGGAACCACTGAGTGGGAGTTTTATAGAGGAAGACCCAAACTTGAAATAAGAAGGACTTTCTTGGCCATGACAGTTATGAAACGGTGGAACACCCTGATTCCTGGAATCATGGTGCTCCATCCCCAGAGGTTTTCAAACCAAGACTAGGCAACAATTTGCCTGGGATGGTCCAAAATCCTTGTTCTGAGGAGAGGTTGAACTAGAAGATCCCCAAAAATCCTTTCTGACTTCACCATTTAATCATTCTATGACTATTCAACTCAAGATACATTATCAATGTATTATAGGAGAGCCAGTCTGATGTAATAATGAAGGTGCTGGCCTAGAAACCAGGAGATAGTGAATTCTAGTCCCCTTTAAGCATGAAAGCCAGCCAAGTGACTTTGGGCCACTCTCTCTCCCCCTCAGCCTAACTCACTTCACAGGTTATTGATTAGGAAAATTAGGAAAATTAATAAAGGAGGGACAAAAATGAATAAATAATTCACTTAGAAATCATGGTGTTTCTTGGGGAATTTGTTTGAGAAAGAAAAGTGTTAAAAGGCAATGGTTGAAATACATGTATGGATGTATTTATTTATTTATTAGAGTGGTGCCTCACCTTTATTTTGTTTAATTCAAGACAAGAGGGTGTAATTTTTGTCAAGAGTATGAATATTGATGGACTGAAATAGATCAGTCAATTTATTTTATTTTTATTTATTTTATTTTATTTCCAATTTATATACCGCCCTTCTCCCTGAGGACTCAGGGCAGTGTACAGCCAGAATTAAGAACATGAAATACAAATATTAAAAAACAATTAAAATATATATAAATATGGCCCAAAAATTAAAAATCACAAACCAATTAAAACATTTAAAAATTTGTTCTTAAGCCAGCCCGGCTTGCTGGAAAAAATGGGTTTTAAGGGCACGACGGAAGGCACTGAGGTCTTGGATTCTCCTTATCTCTGGGGGCAACTGAGTCAACGGGGACTGAATGGAGACATGGTAACAAGGTCAGCCAATGAAGGCTGTTTGGAAACAGAAACTTAAGCTAGAAGTCTGGGTGTGGCTTAGGCAACTGAGTCTGTGCAGAAGCTTAACTGCCCTGTATAGAGGAGGCTCTCTTTGTATTAAGCTCTGTGCTCAGCTCTGAAGTGAAACAAGCCTGGGCTTGTCTGCTCTGCTGAAATGAAACTAACTGTTCTCCCCTGCCTTGTGTTTTGCTTGTAACTGCCACTACGTTGAAGAAGAATCTATATTGGTATTGTACATTTATCTTCATGTTTTATTATGTATATAAAGAAGTTAATGAATCCTGCTGCATCAGTTTGCCTGTGTGTGCTTTCTGGATTTGATTTCTGCAACAAAATCTTACAATCTTTCCAACAACAGCCCTGAGAGGTGGGCTGAGAGAGACCAACCTAGAAACATTGTAAGAGATGACTAGAACTCACCCTCTCCTGTTCCTAATCCTGCGCCTTAATAATTTCCATGAAATAATATATTAAAAGTCTACACAAATTTCTGCAAAGAAAAATACTGTGCACCCAGGACAAGGTATTGTTCTAAATGGGTAATATAGTAAAAGTATACGCTGACATTATATAAATATTAACATGTTTATAATAAAATATTAAAAGTACTCCAGTTTCCCCAAAATCAATGTTACTTACACTTGGTTTTCCTTTTGGGCAATTTCTTTCTGAAGACTTTCAGATTTATTCATATAATCTTGTTTAACTTTCTTGTCCTCACTGTCTGCTTCCATGTGAGCCTTCTCTGCTTGCTGCAATCTGGTGTAATTCAAATCAACTTTGGGTAAAACTGAAGCTAGAATTTGGATGTAAAGGATGAAGACAAATAAAAGGAAAAAAATGGGGAAATAGAACATTTCTAAATGAAAACAAAGTTTGGGGATAAACTCACTAACTCAAATGAGAGACCCAGACAATGCCTACAAATTCAAATTATGCATCTCACTATCACCACAAAACATCCATAAATTTCTCCATTTTTTTTTTATTTGGGATCCTTGATAAACAGGCGCCATCATGGCAGAGTGATACATATTTTAGGTTTCATACATACAGAGTGCTGAGCATTTAAGCTCTTACGGTTATGATTTCTTTTTTGAAAAGGAAAAACCAAACTTCAAATAGCCCAGCCAACTGGCTTCACAAAAGAAAAAAAAGGGCACAGGGACGTCCTCAAAGGCAATGAAAAGAACCATAATGGTGGCCCTGTCTATGTGGTTGCAGCCACCATCTTGACTTTTTTTGACTTTCATCTACTGATTGCAGAACTCTGGATGATTTCACTTAGGACCCAAATAGTATATTTGAGACCCAACACAATACATGCCGAGAAAAGTCGCTGGCTGTCTAATACAGTATTTCTCAACCGTGGCAAGATAAAGATGAGTGGACTTCAATTCCCAGAATTCCTCAGCCACAATTCCTTGCAGGGGAATTCTGGGAGTTGAAGTCCACACATCTTCGAGATGAGAAACACTGGCCTAATGCGGCTTTTCTGGCATCAGTTCTGTGGTCATTAACACTGGTCTAATGTAATACCTATGGCATTATGTAAATAGTTGGATTCCCACCCAGGGTTGAGAACAGAGAAGAAAACAGATATATACTGCCTGGCAGAGCAATCCACCTAGACTTTTCCTGTCACTTCTCTTCTGATCTCATACATAAGTTGCTCCAAAATTTCTTTCTAAGGAAAAGGGAAGCGGATGATCTCCCCATCTTCCCATGGATCATCTACATTCCAAGGATAATCAAAGTGTGAAATGACTCTGTGCACTGAGCTTTTTTAGGCATGGCCAGGGGTTGGCTGCTGGGGGTTCACAGGGGTTCGGGAGAACCGCTAGCTAAGATTCTGTGCAGTTTGGAGAACCCCCAAATCCCACTCCTGGCTGGCCCCGCCCACCCCATCCTGCCCCTCCCAGGAGTCCCCACGCGGCCTGTTTTGGATGCAGATAAATGCGGAGGCTCGGGGAGGGCGAATAACGGGCCTACCGGAAGTTCGGGAAGGCCGGAAACAAGTTCGTTTCTGGCCTCCAGAGGGACTCCGGAGCCTGGGGAGGCTGTTTTCGCTCTCCTGGAGGCTCGAGGAAAGCCTCTGGAGCCCGGGGAGGGCAAAAACACCTTCCTGCCATGGTGCAGGAGGCCAACTAGGCCATGCCCACCATGGCCACGCCCACCCAGCAACCATGCAGAGAACCCCTTGCTAAAATTTTTGAAGCCCACCGCATGGCATGGCACTAGCCTCACTTGGGGGGGGGATCTTGCTTTTGAAAACACTGCCTATGCCTAGAGAAGTTTGTAGAAACCATCCAGTAAACCTTTAGTAAAGAAGGTTGAAAGGGGATTTATCTTGAGCTCTAATGCAAGGGTGTCTGTTAGAAGGGGTGGGATGGGAGTTAGTTAAAATCTCCAAATGCCAGCAGCCACTTGTGCCATCAATGTCCCGCCTCCAACCCATGCATTCTGTGTAAAAAGGGGGCAGGGCTTCAGTTGCATGGCTGTGGCTGCCATCTTGACTTTTCTGACCCATCCACCCCAACACTCCTGCTCTATTGCTAATATGTTCCTAAAGCTCCATCTGTAAGGATGATTCCCCCTCAGCTTTAAAGACAGGGGCGTGGGAGAAAGCCCCTTTCCAAAAAAACTAATTGTAAAAGCCTTTCTACTCAGGCAGACATCCAAGCACAAACGAATAATTTCCATTCCATGATTGAATGCTATCAACTATAAATAAAAAGTATTTCCATAGTCCCCCTTTCTTTTGTACCACAAAGGAGAAGCACACATACATTCCAATGAAAGAGGTTTTTATGCTTCACCAATGTCCACCAGTTAATTTTCATTACACTACTACTTCGGTTCAAAGCATGGTGGATTTCCAATTTAATTCCTCATTTTAAAGCAAAATATAATTCTCCCAGCGCAATTGTGGGGCACATCTACACATCTTAAAAACAACATTGTGCAAAGATTAATATATTCAAAGATCATCCGGAAGACCATGTTTAATTCTTGTCCTTATCAAAACACCAAGAAAAGATCTAGGTAAACAGAGGTTAAATTACAATCCGTAAGATCTTTTCTGAACCATTTTCCCCCCCTACCAGCTTCACTGTCATAAAAATAGTGCTAGCTGAACTTGAAGTCAGTCTCTGTTTATCATTTGCTAGATAATAACACTGTGATTTTGAAAAGATCAATTCCAACGAGAAAATGCTAAATTAAGATTTCTATGGTCACTTCCTTTCAGAAAAACAAAGCAGGAAATCGGTGTCAGAAACATGGTCTGATGAGAATACTACACTGACATCCGAAGGAAACCAAATACATGGACAATAGACTCAAATCCAAGCGTCATAACTCAAAGCTCATTTTCCTTGTGTAAAGCGCTGCTGACTGTTTGCTCCATTATGAATTGCTTTGCAAGAACCGTGGCTTCAAAATGATATATCTTTAACCAGCTTGTACTGGGGCTGCCCTTCACGACTGGAGCATTTCACCAAAGTCATAGCAATAGTCCTAGTCTGCGTTAACAATTCTTTGTCACTTCAGATGTGAAATGGATAAAAATCAAAGGCAAAGGCAATAAAAACATCCAAAAATGTGGGATAAAGGAGAAAAGAAAAAGAAAGAGGAAAAACGATGTCAATAAAAGAATACTCATGCTTACTAACGTTTTAATACAGAATCATGTTTTTGTTCAATAGACTGGATTGAAAAAGAAAACAACGATGAGACTATGGATGTTTACATTTTTAAGCAATTAGAAAATCAACCGGTTTTTTTAACATACTTCTAGGATTGTGATTTGACAACTGCACTAGTGTGCAAATTCACAGGCCAGGAATTGAGGAAAAAAAGGAATAAGCGTTTTTGTGTATCCTGTTCTAGACCTCCTCCCCAGGGGTGAAATCCAGCAGGTTCTGGAGAACCGGTAGCAGAAATTTAGAGTAGTTTGGAGAACCGGCAAATATCACCTCTGCCTGGTCCCATAGTGGGGTGGAAATGGAGATTTTGCAATACCCTTCCCCTGGAGTGGGGTGGAAATGGAGATTTTGCAGTATCCTTCTCCTGCCACGCCCACCAAGCCAGGCCCACAGAACCGGTAGTAAAAAAAATTGAATTTCACCACTGCTCCTCACTTTGCTTCTCCCAGGAATATGAATGGCTAAGCAAACTGGAAAGCTCACTCTGATATGTTTAGCATTACACTTAAATCAGAACACGAGTGTCCTCAAGGATGTGTTGTAATCAAAGCCCTATTCCTTTTTCTGTGCAAGACAGTGAAAAAGATGTAGGGCAGAGGTGTCCAACCTTGGCAACTTTGTGGGCTTCAACTCCATGGCTGGCTGGGGAATTCAGGGAGTTAGACACCCCTGGTGTAAGGGTATTGGTCAAGGCTGATAATTTTTTTTGACACACAAGCCTGCAGACACCTCCAACCAGGATAAATGATTTATTTCACCGTAAGTCTCAATTTGCTCTTGGCTTCTTAAGGAAGAAATAAGATTGGCTTAGATTTGAGGCTGAATCAACCATGGCTAGAAACATCATGAGTTCTCTACTAGAAATTTCTGCTAACAAGTGAAACCAAGTCAGAAATAAAGGGTAACGCTCCCTCAGAATACTGCCATGGTAAGTAAAGGTAGAGGTAAAGGTTCCCCTCGCATATATGTGCTAGTCGTTCCTGACTCTAGGGGTGGTGCTCATCTCCATTTCAAAGCCGAAGAGCCAGCGCTGTCCAAAGACGTCTCCGTGGTCATGTGGTCGGCATGACTCAACGCCAAAGGCGCACGGAACGCTGTTACCTTCCCACCAAAGGTGGTCCCTATTTTTCTACTTGCATTTTTTACGTGCTTTCGAACTGCTAGGTTGGCAGAAGCTAGGACAAGTAACGGGAGCTCACCCCATTACGCGGCACTAGGGATTCGAACCATGGTACCAATTCTCTAACTTTAATATCTACAGCCTCAACTCTAGGGTTATTTTACAAGCTCTTAAGCTCTTATGTACATCTTGCCTTATATTTAATCTCTTTTCATGGAACTAATATCAACAAAAATATAACCTGCTTCTGAAACGACTCCATTTTACATGCAACCTGCTGCATAGATGAGGAAACCAGTTAACCCCCCCCCCAAAAATGTCTTTGAAAATTTGAATTCTATAGCCATCAGCCAATCACAAAATATAGCAGGTCATGTGCAAGCTGAGCCTCCCAGGATTTTCTGACGGCCTGATGGCTGCTGGTATCGGAAGGCTGTGCAGGCCACATCTAGCCAAAAAAAGAAAAAAAAAAGGGGGGGGGGGGACAGAGCCCCTGGATTGGACTGAAAACATTCCCTGTGGCTTTGCTACCTTTCAACTCATCCTTCAATGCATCATCAGTCTACAATTGCATTTAAAAGGAGATCCAAGTCTTATCCTCTACTGCCTCAGAGTTTGCTGCTCCCAGCACAGTATATATTTAGGTCAAAGGAAGCTTGGAAGAATTGCTAACAATATGGTAAAGTCAAAAGGGAGGAACGCTTTGGAAGAGCTAACTGTAATGAGCTATAATGAGCTTTGGTGGCGCAGTGGTTAGAGTGCAGTACTGCAGGCCGTTTCTGCTGACTACCGGCTGCCTGCAATTTGGCAGTTCAAATCTCACTAGGCTCAAGGTTGACTCAGCCTTCCATCCTTCTGAGGTGGGTAAAATGAGGACCCAGATTGTTGGAGGCGATAGGCTGACTCTGTAAACTGCTTAGAGAGAGATGTAAAGCACTATAAAGCAGTATATAAATCTAAGTGCTATTGCTATAATGTGATTTAGAGCAGAAAGGAAGAGTGGATTCCTGCAACTCGGGGAGGCGTCTTCTGTGTTTCACAGAAGTATGTGAAAACAGATCAGTTTGAATTATGGCTGTTCTTGCATGAATATGTATTTAAAGTTAAGAGCAAGTTAAATGTGAAAAATTATGTCCTATTCCTTTTGGCTCAATATGCAGGTAACTGGGTTTAAAACCTGCCAAATTAACATGTAGTGTTAAGCCAAGGTCTGTGCCATGTTACTTAACATAAGTTGGATCAAACCCAGTTTCTACTTTCCTTCCATCACCACCATCATCATCATAAGTTAGCCAGACAAACTTTTGAAGTGTTTATTTTGATTTTTTTTTTTGCAGCTGCTCAGCTCGTCAATGCATATGAAGTAGAGATCGTGGTTTTAAAAGAAAGATCTTAATACATGGATTATGAATCTGGGCATTACACCGAGCATGAAAAATAAGTGGTGATTATATAAAAAATACAATTAAAATTTGCCAAGGTTTGTACCTGAGAGGAAGATATAAGCCCAGGGCTTCTCTTGCACTAACATGGGCAAGAGAAAATGAGTAAGAAAAAAACTTTAAAAACTCATGTTGTACCTTTGTTCCAGATGCTTCATAGTTGCGGTAATCTCACTAGTTTTATCCTCCAGGCGACCAATTATTTCATTCTTTTCTTTCATGGCTTCATCTGAAAACTATTATTAGAGATTATTCTATTACAATATGGTAATTGTCATGCAGTATAGCTTTTCTTTCTTCTGCTGCTTTCTTCTCTTGGAACCAACTCTGAATGCTGAAATCTCTGTTGAAAGTAGCTGTAGTATCCAGTGGTGGGATTCAAATAATTTAACAACCGATTCTCTGCCCTAATCACTGGGGTGGTGGGCATGGCCAGGGGGTGTAACAGGCAGCACTTGGCCTCCTGCACCCCCCTGGAGGCAAAAACGGGCTGTGGGGGGCTGCGCTGCACCCCCCCCAGCATGCCCCGTTTTGGCCTAGTAGGCCTCTCTGCAGCCTTTGGGAGCAAAAACGGGCCACGGGGCGGGGGGGCACACACCCCCACATCCTGTTTTGAGCCTAGTAGGCCTCCCTGCACTTACCTGGGAGCCAAAACGGGGCGCGTAGGGACTCCTGGAAGGGGTGGGGTGGGGTCAGATATCAATTTAACAACCAGTTCGCCCAAAGCGGCTGAATCCCATCACTGGTAGTGGCCCTGTAGGCCACTCAGGGAAAAAAAACAACAACTCCAGCATTCATCAGGACAACTTCAGTCCTGCAAAACTACTGCATGTTTTTCAGTTCCAAAAACACTTTATGTACTCAATTGACTTGGAAGGACAAAGAAGAGGGGGAAATGGAGCTGATGTCAGAATCATATCTGTATCCGTTTAGATAGCAAGAATAAAAAATTAACCTTCAAGACGGGCACTGTTTTATCAATGTGTATGAATAGGGAGTCAAGCAACCAGTGCTTTTTATTTTCCTTTAGCCTTTCTTGAAGGGAGAGTCCTAGTTTAACTAACATATTAAGCAATCTATGGAGATTCTCAGTCATCCAGGTCATGGTTGTCCCAAAGGTGCTTTTTTCAAGAGGCAACTGGACTTTCTGGTTTTTCTTTCAAGACATTTCACTTCTCATCCAAGATTTACAACTGAAAAAGCTTCTTGGGATGAGAAGCGAGACCAGAGGTGGTATTCAGCTGGTTCGGACCCGTTTGCTCAAACCGGTAGCAGAAATCACGGGTGGGCCTGCCCCCCCCCCCACCTTAGCTCCAAGTCGTGCTATTTAGGCACGTTTTTGAGGCCGGGCGCATGCGCGGAAGGCACGCATGGCAGCAAAGTGCATATGCGGAAGGCCAGGCGCGTGCGTGGACGGGGCACATGCGGTCACATTTGCGAACTGGTAGGGAAAGTAAGTGAATACCACCCCTGAGCGAGACGTTTTTAAAGAAAAACCAGAAAATCCAGTTTGCCTCTTGAAAAAGCACCTTTAGGATATTTGGAATTGGCAACTCCGTTCTAAGCCATGTTGTTGTTAAGTGAACCATCACGTGCCATAAAGGACTTATGATCTCACTATGATCGCACCCGTTTGGCGGACGTGTGAAGCAAACTGGTTGTTACAACTGGTGAACCCCACCACTGGATCATTCACATATTTATTGATGGCTGATACTAAACAAGCATGGCTTAGCATATCATACAACCATTCCATGACTCTGCCTAAATGGCATTGTCACCCCAGATAGATGCTTTGGGATAACAGCCAACAGTTAACCCTGAAATCCTAGGGGAGGAAATCAAATCCCCAAACACCACCAGACACCATTGCATTACACTTATATATTTTGGTTTCAAAATATAAATAATGAACTACCTGCAGTTTTTGATACATTTCTGTATTTATCACTTTGACTTCCTCCAGCTGTTGCCGCAGATTCATAAGAGTGTCTTGCTTCTCATGTATATCTTTCTCCAATAACTTCATTGCAAGTTCTATCTCATGCTTCATACCAACCTGGACCATCAATTCATTCTCTATATCCTACAAAAGGTAAAAACAAACAAGCCTACATCTTCCCAAAATACAATGTTTCATTTTAGATTGAACAGTTCTAGCAAAACAGCATGACTGATGATTGACAACTGCACGCAACTACCTAAGTATCGGTCGTTCTTGCAATACAGCTGTAATTGAGCCTACCCATTGCAGTCATATGTCATAACAGTCGTAAAATGGGTCAGTCATGTCACCAGAATAATTTTACAACCTTTCTTGCAATAGTTTGTCATGAGTCAGAGTCTGAATCTAAGACGGAAGATGAACAACTGAGAGAGAGCGGGAGAGTGGCTCCGTTGGCTGTGGAGGAAACTGGGGAAGGGCAAAGTCAGGCTGGGCAGAGCAGGGGAGAGGTAGAACAAGGGAGAGTGGGTTCAGATGAAGACCAAGGCCCATACCCTCCTCATTTTAGGGTGTGCAGAGAAGAAGACAGAAGAGAACAATGGGGGTTGTGTGGCTTACGAGGAAGGAGAGGACCCCCGATTCCCTTCACAAGGCACACCTGGGGATGGAGTTTAAAGGAGAGGCAGGTGGGAGGGGCATTTTTTTGGGAACAAACACTGAATTCATCTAGTGTTGAGAGTTGTGGCCTGCATTCCTGGCATTCTTCCTGACTGTTTGAATTAGTGCCATGCTTCTGTGTGCTTATCTTGTCTTGCTGGAATTATTCTTCGCTTCTGGGACTCATTATCTCGCCTTGCTGGAGTTATTAATTGCAGTCATTCTGCTTACAGTGTTTGGACTGGGGTATCTGCAGCCAGAAGCTGCTGCAGGTTTGTAGGAGAGTTTTTCTCCAGGCCAGAGTAAATGGGACGTTGGGGGCAAAGTTGGTGCCAATAAAGGGACTCATACCAGTTCTCTGGCTGTGTTGCCTTCGTGCCACGCCCCGGGTCATATTTGTTAAGCAAATAGCCATGGTCATTAAGTCGTGAAGTGAACCAGTGATTTGCTATGAGCAGAGTTTTGCTGAAAACTGGAAGTGATAGTTTTTGGCAAACGTGTCATAAAATACAGTCACATTACCGCAGGATACTGCAAACAGCTATATATGCAACTGTGTTGCCAAGCCTCCAAAGTTCAGTCATGTGACCATGGAGGAGGCCCATCTGCCAAATCTTAGTCATAAGTCCCCTTTTTAGGTCAGTAACTCTGAACGGTCACCAAGGACTACCTTTATGTAACTCCAAGGAATATGTAGAACCAACCACTCACAATTTATATAACACCCACTCACTTGTCTTAACTGTGATTCTTCTCGAAGCTGCCTATGTGCTTCATTGTACATTTCATCCAGGCTCTGTCGGGAATGTTTATATGTCTGAAGTTCTGCTTCGGCATCTACTTTATTCATCTACAAAAAAAATAAGGAAAATTATTGTACTTAAAAACTTTGGTATTCAGCAAGAGACTTCTTCCTAGAGCAGGTATGCCCAACCTTGACAACTTAAGATTTGTGGACTTCAGCTACCAGAATTCCCCAGCCAGCCATGCTGACTGAGGATTCTGGGAGTTGAAATCAGGGGTAGGTTGTAAAAATTTTTTACTACCGGTTCTGTGGGCGTGGCTTATTTTGTGGGCGTGGTTTGATGGGGGGTAATGTAACCAACTTTTTTTTTTTTTTACTTTTAAAAGCATTTTTTCTACAACCTTAAGAGGTTGCAGAAAAAAATGCTTTTAGAAGCCTCTACGATCAGGCAACTCAGCTGGGATCACCAGAAGCTTTTAAAGGCATTTTTTTTTTACAACTTCTTCGGCCGAAGAGGTTGCAGAAAAAAATGCTTTAAAAAGCCCCGATGAGGTGGGCAGGGTAAGCAAGCGGCGACCAGGCCGGGGACCAGTTCGGGAGCATGGCCAACCAATGTTATTACCGGTTCTACGAACTACTACAAATTTTCACTACCGGTTCTTGGGAACTGGTGTGAACCGGAAGCAACCCATCACTGGTTGAAATCCACAAGTTGCAAAAGATACACACTCTAGGTAGCAAGAACACCTCCTGCATTTTCTTCATGTTTGTGATGAGCTGGGGACAATGAAAGGGTATTATGTGGAGCTATGCATGTGTCAAAAATGATTTAGATCATATATAAGCTACCCATTTTAAAAGTATTGTAATATGTATAAATATTATTTTATACATATTACAGACTGAAATATTAAAGACTGAAAAATGCTCCTTCTATAAAATGCTCCTTCTATGCTCATAAAATGTTCCTTATGGCAATACTGTTATGAAAACTTCATCTTCGATAAGCCAGTGAAGAACACAAGGTGAAAGTTTTAAGTTTTTTTAAAACGGGGGTTGGCAACAGATTCTCCTTCCAAAACCCCAGCCGTAACTTGAGGTATGCAAAATTTAGCCAGGCCTCATTAATTCAGTGTGTAGTAGCCGTATGAATCTGGAACATCATGCTTCCATATCTCCTATGCACCAGTGGAATAGATGAGAGCAAAATTTGGGCCCGTTCTTTGTTGCAGAGAAGTCTGCAAAAATTTAAGAAGTAGAAATGTGTGTCTCGAGCCTTGCAGCACTATAATCCTTTACCAAATGTAGGGCAAAAGTTTCCACCCTGTTTACTTCATTGATGTCATGACATGATAGTTGTTCCACAATTGCCCCTTTTAATTCTTTTACTGACTCCACTTATACATCTTTGAAATGGCCACAGGCTGTCCTTCCTTTGGCCTGCTGTTCTGTTCTTGGAATGGCCCATTTGTTAATTGACCCACTAAAATACCAAGTGATATTCCCACTTCACTGTCTTTTGCCTCAGTTGCATGTCAGTTTTACTTGCCTGTCCTACTTCATAAGGTCTATTTTTATCCCATTTTTCAGCTGCTTCACCATTTTTCAGTTCTTTTCTTCAAACCATCCTGCTGACTTCTGCAGTTTTAAAAAGCTCCCTCTCTGAATATTTTGTGGGTGGTTACTTTGTCTTTCTAGACATTTTTCTACCCTGCCTACAAAATCTTTCTAATTTTACAGGTTTAATGTTAGTTCAGATTTAAAAAATGTTCCCCTATTTCCTAACTATCTTGACAAGGGGATGTAAATATATTTTGCAATGAGTTTAGCATGAATTAAATGCCCCTTCATGGCATGGTATATTTACAAGTGATCTTCCAAAAATATCTCCCTGAAGCTGTTAGCTAGATTCTTGAAGTACATAAAATGATTAAATATTACATTTGTATAGAAAATTACATTAAAAATGGCAAATTGTGACATACAAATCATGAATTATTTTAAAATATCATACCTCCAGATGATGTTGTGTTTTCATTAAAATGAGTGTGTTTTCACTTCTTAAGTGATGGTTTTCTTCTTGTAGTTTAATGATGTTGTTTTTAGCTATTGCCAACTAAAAGAAAGATAAAATGCAAAAATTTTAAAAATCCAAAAGTTTGGATCCAAAAATCCAAGTCCAGACCCAAAATGCTGCATGAAAACATCACAGTCTCCTAATCACATCACTGGACTACTTCAGCCTACTTATCCAGGGCTTATTCATTCAACCTATTCATTCAACTATTGCCAACAAACAAGGACTCATGGCAGTTGACAGGAAGCAGAAATCCAAAATTTGCAACTGAAGATATTAAACTCAATTAAAACCCAACATTAACAACAGCTAAGGAATGTTTCATTTGCAGAGCGCCATGAGTTTGGGCACTCGTAAAAGGCCGTGTACCAGGCAGAGATGCGGTATCATTTAAAAGAGCTTGCCGAAAGGATTCCTGTAGTAAGCTATTTCCACAATTGCAAAGGAATTTATACACACACACACACACACAAATCACAGTTATACCAGTGGTAGGTTTCCCCCGGTTCGGACCGGTTCGCAAGAACCGGTAGTAAAGCCAGCAGGAGGCTCCGCCACTGACCCGGACGTCATCAGGAGGCTTCTGTGCATGCGCAGAAGTGTGCAAGTGGCCCTGTTGCAAACTATTAGTAAAGGTAAGCAGAACCCACCCCTGAGTTATACCCCACTGCAGTTCAGGGGTGGGTTCTACTTACCTTTACTACCGATTCGCAATGGGGCCACGTGCACATGCACAGAAGCTTCTGCACATGCACAGAAGCCTCCTGATGACGTCCGGGTCAGTGGGCGGAGCCTCCTGACAGTTTTACTACCGGTTCTTGCGAACCGGTCTGAACCGGGGGCAACCCACCACTGCTGCAGTTGTACACAGACTCTCAGCAGCTAGAGAGAATGTTCTCTCAAGCTGCTGAGAGACTGTTCTATGAGTTGATGGATCTGGACTCTCCTTCCATAATTTAGGTCCACTTCCAGGTTGTCCATGAGGCTGTCCAGCTCTTCCATAATTTAGGTCCAACACTTCCAGGTTGTCCATGGGGTCAAAAAGGTCAAGACGGCTCTGGCAGGGTTTCAGTGGCATGGTCACGGCCATCTTGACATTTTGGGCACCATTGCAGATGCTCCTACTTACTGTATATGGCAAAAAAAGTATGTTTGTACAGATGGACCAGGATTTCATGGCTAACTGCAGCTGGGCAAAAAGGAGAACATCAAAGCAACTAGGCCACCATCCTCATGCTGCTCAGATGTTCTGTAACACGCAAGGCACCTCTTGGCCAAGGGAAACATCTTGGCTGAAACAAACCAAAACAAATCCCAAACTAAAATAAAATAAAAACTCCAAACGGAAGTAAAGACTGCTAATTTCAACATATTAATGAAATTAAAGTATATATTGCTGAAAGACAATACCTCTTCGATTAATTTAGTGTTTGACTTCTCTAGTGAATCAACGCGTGTGTGGAGGCTGCCGACTGTACTACTGAAAAGGATAAAAAAAAAAAAAAATCTTCAGAATTATTTCTACAATTATGCAGTAGTACAAACTGATTTACAAAACCTCCTAGCAGCAACTCGGTACCCAGCAACAAATGCATCCTGATACCTGATACCACTCCTCAAAATATACAAAGTGTTTTCTATCAGATTTTTTTTAGACTTCTATCTAGCCTATAGCCCTGATGTAGCCCAAAATCAAAAAGGTCTGATCCAGTATAGCTTTTTGACATCATCCAAAGATGGCTAACTGCTATTATCCAAAAGGATATTATACAGGTAGTTCTCAGTTTATGACAAGTTTAATGATCAGTATTAGTCTTACTCCTAAATCAATAGCAACAGGACTGTGTTGTTAGTTAACCTGATAACAGTAACATATTAAAAGGGAGCTATCATGGCAATATTAATTCCTTGATATAATAGCTAATAAATTCCTTTTAGGATCCCAGATTAAAAACATAACCACATTTTTTATATTAACTATCTTAAGGTATTTCTGACCAAGATGTATCAGGGTGGGGATTAAAAATCAAGAGGATGGTTGTGACTGCAAGGTACCTAGCTGCAAATCAGGAGACCTTGAGTTCTAGTCCTGCTTTAAGCATGAAGCCATCTGGAAGACTTTGGGCCAGCCCCTCTTGAGGGAGGGAGGGAGGGAGGGAGGGAGGGAGGGAGGGAGGGAGGGAGGAAGGAAGGAAGGAAGGAAGGAAGGAAGGGGCAAGGGCAAATCACTTTTGAAAAAAAATGTGATCATGTGTGCAATGAACTTGAAAAAGGGGCAGGTTTTGATCTTGTGGTTGCAGTCACCATCTTGATTTTTAACCCCCTCCCCATTCATGGGTTCAAAAATGCATTTCACGGCCCTTCCCAACTTATCTTTTTTCTACTCATTATTCAATAAATACTAGTAATTTCAATACTTAATAACTATCAAAGTCATTGTTTTTAAAACAGAAGGCACCGTTCCCTACCACAACTTATACTTACTTCAATTGCCGGTTTAATTCTTCAACATAATTCTTCTGATCCAATATTGCAGCAACATGGTCGTTTCTAAAAAAAAAATTAGTTTTAGTTTCGAATATTTAATGTTTAATGAGACATTTGATCTGAGATCTTCAGTGCTGAGAACTGTATGTGAAAAATTTCCATTTACTATTCTGGAAATATGTTGTCTTAATAAATGTTCTCCATAAATTAAAAAAAACAATATCTGAATTCTTGACTTGGCTTGAAATCTAGAACCTTCTGTGTAATTAACACTAGTATTAACTGTATAACCATCATCAACAGACTTGGAGTCTGTTAAAAAAAGGTTTCTTTTGATTTTTTTCAAAAAATTGGAAATTGAACATTGCTCTAAGACCGGGATGGGCAACTATGGTCCCTTTACGACCTGTGGACTTCAATTCCCAGAATTCCTGAGCCAGCATGTCTGCAGGTCATAAAGGGGCCATGGCTACCTCAGGAACTCTCGATGTTGAAGTCCACAGACGATAAAGGGGCCATAGTTGCCCATCTCTCCTTTAAGGATTCACATATGACTTTGATTATCCATTTCCTCAAATTTGTATTCAATATTGATAGATTGACTGTTCATACATCTGTTCTGCATTTCTGAATTAAACAATCCCCTTTTGTTAAACAAGAGACTCTGTTGATTTTTTTCTTAGTTGTTCCATGATTTCTGCTTTGTGCCTTTGAAATCTGTGGCCCCAAAATGTACAACTTTTTTCACATAGACTAAATGTTATTATTACTATTATTTTCCACACTTGGAGATTTACATAACAAGAGAATGTAGTAAAAGTAAACACAGATAAATACACACACACACACACACAGAAAACACTTATATGTACAATCAGTAAAATAAACAAGGGTAAATAAGAGTCACCTTCTAGATGGGGACATAAAAGTTTTAATAAATAAATACCGTATTTTTCAGACTATAAGACGCCCTAAATTTAGAAGAGGAAAACAAAAAGTTTTTGGCCTCCACGCGCCTCATTTTCAGCCCTTTTCCATCCTTTTTTGGCCCATTTTCAAGGCTTTTTTCTGCCCATTTTTGAGGCTTTTTTTTGGCCCATTTTTCCCGGAAAAATGGGCTGAAAAAGGCTAAAAAACAGGCCAAAAAAGCCCCAAAAATGGGCAAAAAAAGCCTTGAAAATGGGCCAAAAAAGGATGGAAAAGGGCTGAAAATGAGGTGCGTGGAGGACAAAAAATGGCTGGCGGATGGATGGGGCTTCAGTAATATTCGGTCTATAAGATGCACAGACATTTTTGCCCCCTTTTGGGAGACAAAAAAGTGCGCCTTATAGTCCAAAAAATACGGTAAATTGCTTCTGGACTTTGTGCTTGAGGTGGAAAAATGAAACTTTGACTTTGGATTTTGCTGATTAGATAGGTTTGTATAGAAGTGACTAGTTTATATTGCTATTTAAAAACAAAATGTTCAGGCTATATGTTATTAATAGAAAGTCAATGCTTTTCTTTCTTTTCCCCTTTTTCCCCTATGCCTTTTCCTTTTCTCTTTTCCCTTTTCCCTCTTTTATTTTCATTTTTCTATATACATATTTTATATTTTGATAAATACATTTTTTAAAAGTAAAATTTCGCCCTTCGCTAATTTGAAGAGAGTCAGTTCGAGCTCATGGTTATAGTGCTGGATGTGTAGAAAACTGAGTTCTACCCCAGCTTTAAGCACAAAGCCAGCTGGCTGACTTTGGGCCAGTCCCTCTCTTTCAGCCCTAGGAAGGAGGCAATGGTAAACCACCTCAAAACATGTCAAGAAAACTGCAAGGACTTGAAGGAATTAGAAAATTAACATCTCCATGGCTGGTTCTTGCACAGCATAATCCAGCCATTTCTGGCCTCAGCCCTGTCCCCCCCCCCCCCCCCCCCCCCCCCCCCTCCCCCGTGAAATCAGGGTAACAAGAGCAATTCATGGATCTGGTTGGAGTAGGTGGTTATATAGGTATGCAATATGTGAGAAGCCTTAGAGGGCTTTGAAAGTTGGAATTAACCCTCATTAGGTACAACATGATATAAAATGGATCATGCGTAAAAATTCCCTTCTTCTGACTATTTCCCCTTATATTCCCCAGGAATATTTTCTGTGAGGGGAAGGAAACTTCTGATTTCCTTGCAGGATGGTGGGTTTTTCAACCATTTAGTTCAACATGCTAAAAGTTCTACTAAAACTCACCTTTCTTTTATATATATATATTTTTTTGCTTACATATGAATATATTGAATACTGTGTAATTGTCCCAGCATTCCACTTACCATAAAACAAAAGTAAAAAACAGAATAACATATACTATTTTAAACAGTGCTAGTGTTGATACCGTTTCCCCCAAAATAAGACATCCCCTGATAATAAGCCCAATCGGGCTTTTGAGCGCATGGCAATAAGGCCAAGCGTTTATTTCAGGGTTCAAAAAAATATAAGACAGGGTCTTATTTTGGGGAAAACACGGTAGTTTCTGACATCATATTCTAGTATGTCAACTTATCTATCATTCTAATACTTACATTCCTATATTGATATTAACAATAATATATCTTTCCATGTCCATCTAACCTGATTCTTTCGCATTCCAATTTCTACCTCGTGTCTCTAACCATTGATAGAATCTATTCCATGCTGAATAGTATTCTGTATCTCCTTCAACTTTTATTTTTAGCATTAGTCTATCCATTTCCGCACCATCTAGTATCTTCCTTATTGTCTCATCCTCTGAAGGGGTGTTTTGGTTACTCACCTTTCTTTATCTTCAGTGTCATCTTCATTCTTTAGGTACATGGAGAAATCAATTACCCCAACCTTTAAAAAAAAATCCAATTTTGCAAAATGAAATAAAGGACCAGCTAAGGGATAAACTTCATTCTCCTGGAATTCCAGATTTGGTATTGATAACATTAATGGATTGGATTATATTGACCAAGGCCATTTTGCAACAACCCATCTCCCCTGCATCTGCTCCCAGGGGTTAAAAACCTCCAGACTCAATTGTGTCTGCAATGGACCGAACGCATAATGGATCAAGAGCAATGGGCAGGATCCACAAGTGAGCAAAGGTGTGTTAGTTTAATTATAAATATTCTATAGGTCAGGGGTCTCCAACCTTGACAACTTTAAGACTTGTGGACTTCAACTCTCAGAATTCCTCAGCCAGCACAAGTCTTAAAGTTGCCAAGGTTGGAGACCCTTGCTAATACAATACTGATATTTTTTCATTAATCAAATGTTTAAGCCATCTCATTGAATTTACAATATTAAGATCTAAATATAAACCAAAACACAGATTTCATACACATTTTGGAGAAAGGACATAGAACAACTTTTTTTACAAGGGAAAAAACAGCCATGCTATACTTGAAAGATCTTCCAGTCAAAAACCTTTTTATTGTAAAATCTTCCAGTATTCTGCGGAAGCAGAATTACATGGATCTGGAATATATAGATTTTCATAGTGCTTCAAAGAAAATAAATTGTTTGCATGGGAGATAAACAATTCCTACACTGATTGACTGAAATAAATTGTTTTAATTATTTTATTCAAGATCTTCAGATTTGCTCGAAGGCTACATATACTATAATATTGTGGCATCTACTCACTTGTGAATCCAAATCTTCTCCTTTTATGCACAAGTTTGCATCAATGACATTTAACCCAACAAGCAATCCAACAATGACGGCACCTTCTTCTTCCATCATCACTGCATGGTATTCATAAAATTCCCTGTAAAAGCATTTTCATATAATTTAAAGGACATTGTCAATTACTGGTCAATTTCATAGCCGACCAATGTCAAAATGACTCAATGTGATAATTCATTCAAAAACAAGCAGGCTTCCTCATGAAAACAGGTGCCATTGTTATGGAATTTGTTTAAAAGGATGCAAAGTAGCAAAATTGGGAGTTTAAAACCTGTCTAGGTCCATAGATTAGAATTAGCCCTACTGATGGTCAAAGCCAAAACAAAGTACCGTATATTTCCTTTATGCCCCTTCTCTTCTACAAAAGCTTGTTGAGATGTAGCTAAATATTTCTTAGACTTTGATGGTATGACAGAATCCTTCACAATTTCTAAAAAAAAAACCCTGCACGATCCACAGAGCACTCATCTAACATCTTTCTTCTGCATCTTTCCCCCCTAATTCCAATGATACACGAATACGTATCTCATGATTCTAACCACGTTGACTCTGTCACAGGGGTGAAAGGTAAAATTTGTTACTACCAGTTCTGTGGGCATGGCTTGGGGGGGTAATGTGACTGGGTGGGCATGGCCAACTTTTTTTTTTTTTAACTTTTCAAAGCATTTTCTCTAATGCTTTGAAAAGTCTCTGCTGATCAGGCAACTCAGCTGGGATCGTCAGAGACTTTTCAAAGCACTTCTTTTACCACCTCTTTGGCCAAGAGGTTGCAAAAAAAAATGCTTTGAAAAGCCTCTGACGATCCCAGCTGAGCCGCACAATCATCAGAGGCTTTTTTTTTTTTACTTTTAAAAGCATTTTTTTTGTCGGAAGAGGTTGTAGAAAAAATGTTTTTAAAAGTAAAAAAAAAAAGCCTCTGATGATCGTGTGGCTCAGCTGGGCATTGGGGGGGAGGCGGCAGGGATTTTTGCTACCGGTTCTCCGAACCACCCGCCACCATTGCTACCGGATCAGGCGATCCGGTCTGAACCGGGAGCATTTCACCCCTGCTCTGTCACCAAAGATCAAGCAGAGGCAGGTCACTTAACCTGTATTCAATGTCATCACAAGTAGAAAAAGTAAACCTGATAATGGTTGCATGTCCCACTATGCAACCAATGGCAGGTGCTTGATCAGCTAGTATCGGTAGCACTTTAGGTACCGTATTTTTTGGACTATAAGACGCACCTAAATTTAGAAGAGGAAAACAACAAAAAATGTTTTTGGTCTCCACGCACCCTATTTTGGCCCTTTTTTCTGCCCTTTTCCAGCCTTTTTTGACCCATTTTCAAGGCTTTTTTTGGCCCGTTTTCAAGGCTTTTTTGGCCCATTCTTGAGGCTTTTTTCCACCCGTTTTCGAGGCCTTTTCAAGGGCTTTTCCGGAAAAAATGGGCCCAAAAAAGCCTTGAAAAACAGGCTGAAAAAAGGCCCAAAAACAGGGCGTGAGGAGGCCCAAAACCGGCCGGCGGGTGGGTGGTGCTTCAGCAATATTTGATCTATAAGACACACAAACATTTTCACCCCCTTTTGGGAGACAAAAAAGTACATTTTATAATCCGAAAAATATGGTAATAATATGTTGAGAAAGCAGCAAACAGCATCAAATATTGAATTTAATATTTGCACAAGGATGGAGAAGACTCTCCAAGCATCAGGGGCTTTGCGCAAGGAGAGTAACATGAATAACATTCCTTGTGTAGACGTTTTTTAAAAAACAGAGAAAACTGCTTTTTTTAAAGAAAAAAAATGCCTAGTTCTGCAAGTATGAAATTAAATAGTGTGCAACTGCATTTTGTACACTTTATGCCCTAGGTATGCACCTTTTCCAACAGCTGGCAGCATGATGTAAATTTGCAGAATACATTAAACAGCAAAAAAGAAAGAATACATTATTGCCATTGTTGTGGTAAGTGCTGCCTGGGAACGTCACAGGCATTCCATTGTTGACTTCTGGTTTATACTACACTACTATCAAAACCTGAATAATCATTAGAACGTCCCCTTTCATTTTTGTTCTACCAAAACTTTTTAAAATAAAGATGTCAGGTCAATCAATGAGAACATTTTATTGAAATTTATAATTCAGAACTGAAATGCTAGAAGCTGCTAGAAGCAATGTAATGTCAGCTGTTTTATTTAGCTAAGAAAATAAATATTTTTGCTAAGTTCGAATTACAATGCAACACGATCGATGTGCACAAGTCTGTTCACAATCAAAGCACTGATTTTTAATAAGAATCTGGATAAGGGCTCACCCGAGGAGATCTTTCCGAAGGATGAGACATCGGAGATAGTCAGCCATCTTTTTCTGCATAAGTGCCAAACGTAACCAAGCCCGAGCACGTCCTAAGGAAGTCCTGGTTTAAAAACAGGAACAGTTCAGAGACACATTATTAGGCAGAGCTGTCATTTCTAACCCTGGTCAACAGGTCTTCCAATAAAGAGACAGGGATTAAGCCATTTTCCATCTTTATTTGGAACAGTGTTCTTAACCATTCTATATTCAACTTTAGCCAATTTATACCTTCAACAAAAAGTGTTTTTATAAAAAGAACAACCTTCTGATTTAAACATTTACTTGACAAAACTCTTAAGACACAAAATAAATGTCCTCTTCTGTATTTGTCTTGGGCAAATACCATCCCATTTTGGTCTTTTCTGAGTAAGAAGGGATTAATGAATACCCTGAAGTTTCTGCAATGGGCAGTTGGTGTAAGATCAAAGGCCGGGTCATTACATCTAGGAGTGAATCACTGAGACTTGGAGGGGCACATCCAAAGGAGACTATACTCCATAGGACTCTATTCTACTGAAAGTGTCAAATTTCAAAGCATCCCTGGCCTGCTCTCAAGTTGCCATAGGCAAGGGGGATGGGAAACCCACAAAGCAGCACAGCAGCCATAAACAGAAGCACATTCCAGACATATCTCTCTCAAGGCTGTCTCCCAGGTTACCCACAGCAGCCAGAGGGGAGTAAGCTCTACAACCTGCGAAATTGCTCCGTTGGCTAATGTATTGATGACACACCCTGGGGGGAGGAGGGAAACAGGGTCATGATTGGGACGTAAATTACGTGGGGTCAGAGTTGGCTTCACCTGGAATGTGCCGACATGAAGCTCCTAATAAATAACTGGATTTTTTTTGAAGCTTGGCTCGAGGTTTATGATTTAATTAGGGCATCCCTCGGAACCCTAACAGCAAGCTTCAAAAAGATTAAGTCTACTCTTGTAAGGCACTAAGAGTGTCTTGTATGACATGGGTACCCATAATAATTCTTTATTTCAGCTTCTGGTTTTAAAAATAGCACTTTTGAATCACATCACATTTAATATTCTAGTTATTTTATTAAAATCTTCCCCCAATTAATTTGTGATAAGAACAATTTTTCATGTGTTGTAGACCTACTTTGGTAACCAGATATTCCTGCCAGCTCCATATTTCACCCCATGGCTGAACCACTTCAAAGTCACTTTTTCTCAACACAATTTTAGCATAATCCATCACGAATGTGGTTCCATACGTGATCAGGGCTGAGATCCACCACAAAAAGACAAGTAGACTTGCTGCCAGCATTGTCATTCTCTTGCAGCACTAATCAAAGATGGAGTTCACTGGTTTCCACTTCATCTTGCACCCCTCCTTCCCATTTACAACCTGTGAGATGACTATTTGGGGCAACTTGAGCGCTGATGGGATCTGCCATTTCAAGCACCTGTCTGGCTTGCCTCGGTGTTAGGGAGTGATGGATGATTGCTTCCCCATCAGGCAATGCCAGATGAAACATGCACCATAATCCCCCTTTAAAACAGGAATGATCCAGTGTCTGGCCTTAATATCAGAGTAGAATAGGGCTCGGGAATCAGAATAGCAAATTTTACACAACCCAACTTTTCTGCTGGGTCAGAGATTAATGGATTGTACTTTAACACAAATATTCCCACTGTCAGGTCTCCTTTTGAGTATTGGCAGTTGAAAAGGAATACAGCTCAATGGGAGAATAGACCTCTGGATGAATAAGATCCCAGCTTCAATTTTTGGCACTCTATGGTATTAATTGGAAAACCTTGCCTCAGAAACCTGAAAAACCTACCGCCAGTTTAGGCAATAAATGGGCAAATAATCTGAATCTGGTAGAATTTCTATCTCACCTTCTTTGCATCAGATAAAACCCCATGTCTTCCTTTCTTACAATTTTGAATAACAACATTATTTCACCTAAAGAATATTCTATAAGGTTAAGGAAAAATTACATACATTTTAACTGTGGAAAATGGATTCTTGCTCACTTCATTCTCATGATTTATGTATGGAAAGCAGAGAAAATATTTCAGTATAACAACTTACTTCAGACCAGGTAAATCTCTAACGCTAGCAGCAATCTCCTCAGCTTCTGGATACAATTTCTCTACAAGTTCCAGAGGGCCCCATATTGTTTTATTATAACTTAGAAAAGATTTCTTTACTAGAAGAGAAAAATAAACACATTTTGACTTTTTACACTCTATTTTATTTTCTTGGAACATTTAATATATTTGTTCCCTAGGCAGAGGGGTGGGTGCTGGGGATTCGCAGGGGTTCAGGAAAACCTCTAGCTAAGATTTTATGCTGTTCAGAGAACCCCCAAATCCTACTCCTGGCTGGCCTTGCCCACCCTGCCCCGCTCCTCCCAGGAGACCCCACGTGGCCCATTTTGGATGCAGGTAAGTGCAGAGCACGTGCAGAGAGAGGGCAAAAAAAGGGGTTAGCGGAAGTTCGGGAAGGGCCTCCGGAGCCTGGGGAGGGCAAAAACGCCCCCCCCCCCGCCGTGGTGCAGAAGGCCAACTACATCCACCATGGCCACACCCACCCAGAAACCAAAGAACCCCCTACTAAAATTTTTGAAGCCCACCCCTGCCTAGGCATCTGTGATACTTATTGGATAGACACATACAAATACAGGTGGCCCTCAACTGACCTCAAAATTTCTGTTGCTAAGCAAAACCCTTGTTAGGTAAGTTTTGCCCCATTTTTATGACCTTTCTTGCCTCATTAGTCGAGGTAATCACTGCCGCTTTTAAGTTAGAAACACAGTGGTTAAGTGAATTTGGGTTTCCCATTGACTTTGCTTGTCAGGTCGCAAAAGCTGATCACATGATCCCAGGACACTGCAACCGTCGTAAATACATGCCAGGTGGCACATGTCTGAAGTTTGACAATGTGACCATGGGATTCTGCAATGGTCATTAAGTGTGAAAAACAGTCATAAGTCACTTTTTTCAGTGCCTTTGTAACTTCAGTCATTAAACAAATGATTGTAAATTGAGGACTACCTGTCTTGGGGATGCTTGTAAACATTAATACTTTCTATTTATAGAGCATCAACAAGTTTAATTTAAGGCCATGTCAGTGATTTTTTTTACAGCCACTGCAGCCAGCCATGAAATTTACAACTGTACCCAATAACAAATGAAGAAAAAGTAAGAAAAAGCGAAGATCACATTTCCAACAAATAATGGGAATTAGCTGGTCAAAACAAATGAACCAAATTCATAAGTCATTCAGAATCCAATGAAGTAAAACTGGCAATGAAGTAAAAATTGCTCTCTTGAATACTGATGAACTCAAAGGAGGAAGTCACAGCTTCCTTCTGAATTGATTTAGAAAATAAAGTTTGCACTAAGTCTGCAGGACAAATGAAAGGAAACATGGGTAGCATGCAGCAATCTGTATCAGTGATTCTTAACTTCAGTAACTCTTAAGATGTGTGGAATTCTGGGAGTTAAGTCCACACATCTTAAATTTGCTGAGACTGAGAAACACTGATATACTCTGATTTAAAACACTACTTACCGTATTTTTCGGAGTATAAGTCGCTCCGGAGTGTAAGACGCACATTAATTTTTGGGGAGGAAAACAAGAAAAAAAATTGTGCCTCTGCCTACCAGCACCCATCGGTATTCATCTGGCTAGCGTCCTGGCAGCAAACAGCCTGGTAAGCTTCAGCACTTATTGCAGCCTGGTTTAACACGAACAGCTGATTGGTGGTTGGATCACCAATCAGCTGTTCCAGGCTGCGGGGATTGCCAGAGCCCATCGCCATCTCCGTGTGTCGCGTTTTTGGCCTCCGCATGCCGCGTTTTTGGCCTTTGCCCCCTCCATTTTAGATCCATTCCAGGCTGCGGGGATCACCACAGCACATCGCCGCCAATCGCCACCATCCTCACCACCTGGAACCAGCCGAAAATGCAATGCGCAGAGGCCAAAAACGGGGCGTGTGGAGGCCGAAAACGCAATGTGCAGAGGCTGAAAACGCAACGCACGGAGGCAGTGATCAGCAGCGATGTGCTGTGGCAATCCCCACAGCCTGTAAAGGGTCTAAAACAGGGCATGTGCAGGCTGAAAACGCGACGCACGGATGCTGAAAATTGCCGAAGGGTGGGAGCCAGTGGGTGGACGGGGCTTCGGCAACATTCGGTATATAAGACACACTACAATTTTCACCCACTTTTAGGGGAGGGGAAGTAAGTCTTATACTCCGAAAAGTACTGTATTTCTCAATGCAAATAAAGTAGCGGTCAGCCCTGGAGCCATTTTCCCCTGGCACCTCCAGGGCTGCCATAGCAGGGATGGGTCAAGCTGTGGGAACCTGAGGGGGGAGGTAGAGATAGCTGGGGACTGTAGCCAAAAGAAAATTCTTTCCTCTGAGAACCAAGGACTTCCCACCAGGTGTGAGGAGGTGGGATCTGAGACCAAGTGATCCTTGGACTGTGACCTGATTGGGCAATGTGATGGGCTGCATGGGCAGGGAAAAGAAAACTTTATTTTTAACTAGGGGGAAACCTGAGGCGGTTTCCCCAGATGTGCCAATATGACATGCCTAATAAATCTATACTTTGAGGAATATGTCTCCCTTGGAGTTTTGATTCTGTTGGGTGTGTTACTTGGAACCCTGACAGTAGCCAGTCGAAGTTGGCCCTCTCAAATGGCCAAATATAGAACAAAAATGGGCTGAAAAGTCTCAATCACCCCAAAATACCATCTGTACCTTTCAGGCCGTGTTTGAGGCAGTGTTCCATGACAACAAAAAACTGCTGGAGAGGTGGATAATCAGAATCAAGAGTTCGCCCAAAGCTTAGAGCAGATTCAATGAGTCCCTTTATACTCAGTTTAGCCATGTTCAATAGATTTGTTCTTTCAATTGCCAGGGGGTCTTTCACAGCTTAAAGAGAGAGAGAGAGAGAATTGATTAAGGAACATATTTTATTGATTAAGGCACAACAGTTATGTCCAAATCTAAGAAAGTAAAAGGGGAAAAAACATCAAAGCAACAGAGGGCACTGTGCTAAGAAATATGGGGTATTTCCAGCAAAGCCAGCAGTAAGAAGTTGTATCAGCAATGTTGCAGTATTAGCTAAAACCCTATTCCAATTTAGTTCTGACAGCATTTTAACAATGACACATCATGTGACGCTTGTTATTTCCTAGAATAAATCCATTTCACAGTATGGAGAAGCATGGTTATTTTTTTGTCTTTTTAGTCGGTTTATGAATTTTAAATGTTGACCTCTCAAAGAAGAGATTTACACTTAAATTGAGTGTTTTATGTTAAGGCTTTAAACTAAAATCAACTGGTTATAATAAAGTATTTACTTTGTGGTTCACAGCTAACCTAATAATTATATTTGTAATGAAGGAAATAGGGCATGTTTATCCACCTACTGAGTTCTTCCCAAGAACTGGGATAGGCAGATATTGTTTGATGGCACTGAAGATACCATCGCAGGATGTAAGCCTGTTCCAAATGGAGCTGCCTTTCGCAATTGACTGATGGTGAATGTGTCAACAAGGATGATCTTTCGGTAATGCTCCAGGTGTTTTGGGTTTCTTTTGCCACAGCCATTCTGCTTCTATCCGCAGATCTTTTCTATTTTATGATTTTTTTTTCCTCCGGTTCATTCTTTTCTATTCTCCTGTCTCTGGATACTGAAACGTTCACTTTTTTCAGACTTTCTATTATTACATGCTTGTTTACCATTTGCTGCTATCACCAATATGCTTATCATTGTTGTTGCTGAAAATAACCCAGAACAGGAAACTAGGATGGTGGGAATATTCTTTCCCATCCAGGCAGCATTCCTTGGCACCCAGCAATCCACCAAGTGTGATTTGGGAAGCTCCCGAGGGAAGGATGATTCCTTTGCAACTGGCAATTAAATATGCTGTTTGGGATTTAAGGCAGGGGTCTCCAACCTTGGCAACTTTAAGCCTGGTGGATTTCAACTCCCAGAATTCCCCAGCCAGCTTTGCTCCAACCTTGGCAACTTTAAGCCTGGTGGATTTCAACTCCCAGAATTCCCCAGCCAGCTTTGCTCCAACCTTGGCAACTTTAAGCCTGGTGGATTTCAACTCCCAGAATTCCCCAGCCAGCTTTGCTCCAACCTTGGCAACTTTAAGCCTGGTGGATTTCAACTCCCAGAATTCCCCAGCCAGCTTTGCTCCAACCTTGGCAACTTTAAGCCTGGTGGATTTCAACTCCCAGAATTCCCCAGCCAGCTTTGCTCCAACCTTGGCAACTTTAAGCCTGGTGGATTTCAACTCCCAGAATTCCCCAGCCAGCTTTGCTCCAACCTTGGCAACTTTAAGCCTGGTGGATTTCAACTCCCAGAATTCCCCAGCCAGCTTTGCTCCAACTTTGGCAACTTTAAGCCTGGTGGATTTCAACTCCCAGAATTCCCCAGCCAGCTTTGCTCCAACTTTGGCAACTTTAAGCCTGGTGGATTTCAACTCCCAGAATTCCCCAGCCAGCTTTGCTCCAACTTTGGCAACTTTAAGCCTGGTGGATTTCAACTCCCAGAATTCCCCAGCCAGCTTTGCTCCAACTTTGGCAACTTTAAGCCTGGTGGACTTCAACTCCCAGAATTCCCCAGCCAGCTTTGCTCCAACCTTGGCAACTTTAAGCCTGGTGGATTTCAACTCCCAGAATTCCCCAGCCAGCTTTGCTCCAACTTTGGCAACTTTAAGCCTGGTGGACTTCAACTCCCAGAATTCCCCAGCAGCTGGCTGGGGAATTCTGGGAGTTGAAGTCCACCAGGCTTAAAGTTGCCAAGGTTGGAGACCCCTGGTTTAAGGGCCAATCACAACCACCTAAAAGCATAGCCAGCAATAAGCAAATCTCCATCAATTGACCCAATGCTCTCTCAACTCTATTGGCCCTCACTTGCATCAGATCAGATCAGAATCATTTTCCGTTGGCAGGACGCGCGTGGCTGATCTTAAAAACACGGGAGATTTGGGCTCCAGAATTTACGGTCGTGGGGACAAAAAAATAATAATAATAAAAAAAAAACAGATCTCCTCCCACCCCCTCTTCAAACCAAAATCCTAACCGCCTTGTTTTTCACGGTGAGTTTTAAGCCGGTAGGAGGGGGCTTCTCATTCTCCTCCAAGGCGCACCGCTCTTTTGGCAAAGCTTTGGCAACCACACCGCCCAAAGCGGCAAAAAGGCGACTTCTGGAGCTGCGGGGGAGCCGCCCTTCTCCCCAGCTCCGGGCGACGCCTCCGGCTGTGCAAAGCCAAAGGTGGACCGCGATCCATCCCTCTTAAATCCCTGCTAATCCGGGGAGAACCCCCACGAGGAAAGTCAAGGCAGAAGGGAAGATCCTCCCACCCACCCCCCGCGCCCCGGCAGCGCCAGATCCTGCGCCACGCGCGCCCGGGGAGAACCCAACTCCATCCACCCGGCCTCTGGAAAAGCCGCGGGTCGGGATAAAAGGGCAGGGCGCGATGCCTGGACGTTCTCCGAGGACTGCGGGCTTCGACCCTTCCCCCCACGCAACCACAGAGTCCCTCAGAGACCCGCGTGGCTTCGAGGAGCTGACGGTGCTGCAGAGCAAATCCGACCGGCTGTTGGCAACCCAGCTGGAAAAGGCGGGCTCGGTTGCAGCCCCTCTCCAGCCATTTTGATGGTGGTGGTAGGGGAGGGGGGGCGCTTCAACAAGCGGAGAAGAGCAGCAGCACCGCCTCGGGCACGCCGGTCGAGCCACAAGGCTCCCTCGGCCTCCTGTCTCCCAGCCCGGTTTGCCGCCCTTGCGCCTTACTTACCCATGGCCAGCGAGGAGGAGGCGCAGCAGCTGCCCGAGCAGTTCAGCGCGGATCCAGCCTTGGCTGCTTTCACGGCCCTTTTCCAGCCCTCTTCATCGCCCATCTCCGCCTCCTCCTCCTCCTCCCGTTTCCCCCCCAGCCTGGCTGGCTGCGCCTCTCGCGGCCGGAGGACTGAGATGGCGCCGTGCCCAGGACCGACGGCGCTGGAGCCGGCGCGCGAAAAGTCGGGGTCCCGGCCGCACCAGGGTGCCGCTTTAAGGCAGGGCCGCCCTCCGGTTTTGGAATATTAGGACAGGGACGGTAAGCACGCTGGCGCGCTTATGCACGCCTCTTACAGACCTCTTGGGAATGGGGTGAGGTCAACAGTAGACAGTTTAAGGTTAAAGTTTTGGGGTTTGGGGGAAGAAACTAGAGTCAGGTAGTGCATTCCAGGCATTGACCACTCTGTTACTGAAGTCATATTTTCTGCAGTCGAGTTTAGAGTGGTTTACCTTGAGTTTGTATCTATTATTTGCTCGTGTATTGTTGTGGTTGAAGCTGAAGTAGTCCTTGACAGGAAGGGCATTGTGGCAGGTAATTTTATGTACTACGCTTAGGTCAGATTGAAGTCGGCGTAGTTCTAAGTTGTCTAAGCTCAAGATTTGAAGTCTGGGGGCATAAGGTATTTTATTGAGGTTGGAGGAATGGAGGACTCCTCTCGTAAAATATCTCTGGACTCTCTCGATTGTATTTATGTCCGATATGCAGTGCGGGTGCCAGACAGATGAAGCTGTATTCAAGAATTGGTCTAGCAAATGTTTTGCATGCTCTAGTTCAGGGGGCCCCAACCTTTTGGATCTCAGGAACCACTAAATTCGTAATTTTAAATCCCGCGGACCACTAATATGATCTGCCTAATGACTGGGTGGGCATGGCTAGGTGGTCATTGTGACTGGGTGGGCGTGGCCAACTCGATTTCACTCATGTCAAGGGGCTTCTTGCCAGCCTCTTCTCTCCCCTCCCCTCCCAGCCCCTCCTCACGCGGGTTCCTTAGGGCCCCAAGAGGAAGCAGTTGTTGGAGATAATTAGCCACCATGAGAAAGAGTTGGCAAAACAGCTGGTTCAGTTCAAATTGGATCTGACCAAGAAGGAGGCTCCTGACCAGAAGCACCTCACTGAGGACTAGGAGCATAGGCTTTCCAAGTAGAGGGAAGACCTGTGGGAGTGCAAGGCCAGGCGCTGGCGCCTGGAGGCTCAGTGGGCTGAGATGGTCAGCCAGGTCCAGGCCATGATGCAGTCCCACTGGAACAAGGCCCTCCAGCTCTTTGCTACCAGCGGCACTTCCCTCCAGCCTTTGCCCAAAGCCCTGCACCTGGAGGCCGACCCCAAGTCAGAATTTCTGCCCCCCTCTGACCCACACAAAAAGACCCAGAAAGGGGAGACTCCGCAGCAACACAAGCATTCATTGCACATATCCGGCCCAGGGGCCTTAGTTTGAGAACCCCTGATTTAGTGCAATATAAAAAAATGCAAATAATTGTTCTGCGGACCACCAAAATTTTCTCACGGTCCACCAGTGGTCCACGGACCACCGGTTGGTGACTGCTGCTCTAGTTAGTACTACAACATTACCAGAGAAGAAGCTACGCAAAATTAGGTTAACAACTCTTAATGCCTTTCTGGTAATGTTGTTACAATGGGCTCGGGCACTTAGATCTTTAGATATGAGTACTCCAAGGTCCTTGACAGAGTGGAAGCACGACAGGCAGAAACCAAGCCGCAACTGGTCCTTGTCCTTCTTGCTTTCTTTCAAGGATGCCAAACCAGTATTTTAAAAATAAGTTCCACACGAACCCAATGACACACTTTGTTTAGGAAAAAAAAAATATGCCAAGTGTTTTTGCCAAGACCTAGTCAGGTACACATAGGTCTGTTGAAACCAGTTTGGTCTCTTCAGTATTAATCTCCGACAAAGATTATGCGTCCTTTATTTCAGAAAGATTTTATTTTTCAAAAACTTAACTTTTGTCCTTTATTGGGTTTATTTATTTTTTTTAAATTGCCATACAGAGATGCCACCTTATTCCAATTCTCCTCAGTGGATTCTCAATGGAGTCTACCCACAAAAAGCAATAAAGGAAATGCTCGGGGGGGGGGGAAGGGTGTTTGGAAATTGTTCTGGAGTGAAGAGAGTTTGGTTTTGTGAACTGCAACAGTACATGTAGGTACATTAATGTTCTATTGGTGCTTTTCTTATCAATGCAAACAAGACCCCCAAAATACCTGTCAGAATCTCTGCATGATTCCTGCCTACAAAGAACCAGTAACCTGTGCTAGTTCCCGTTTCTCTCTTACTCCAATAAAAATCTTCAGTTTTAGTGTGCTGGGGTGAGGGGGGACATCTTAGATTGAGCAGATGGGTTTCTTTATCTTTATCTTTTATTAGATTTGTATACCGCCCTTCTCCTTTCGGACTCAGGGCGGTGAACAGCCAAAATAAAACATTTGTACACAAAAGTTAAAATAATTTTTAAAAATAATTAAATGAAATTTGGCCCATAATTTAAAACATTTCAATTAAAATCAGTATCAAACATTAAAACCAACATGGAATCAGGCCAGCCCGGCTAACTGAAAAAAGTAAGTTTTTAGGGCCCGACGAAAAGTCCGGAGGTCTGGGATCACTCGTATCTCTGGGGGTAGATCGTTCCAGAGGGTAGGTCCCACCACAGAGAAGGCTCTCCCCCTGGGGGTTGCCAGCCGACATTGTCTGGCTGACAGCACCCTGAGGAGGCCCTCTCTGTGGGAGCGAACCGGCCGGTGGGAGGCAATTGGTGGCAGAAGGCGGTCCCGTAAGTACCCCGGCCCTAAGCCATGGAGCGCTTTAAAGGTGATCACCAACACCTTGAAGCGCACCCGGAAGTCCACCGGTTTAAAAGGGAAAATAGATTTATATAGACTGAAGTAATAATAAAGTTATTAAATGAAATACAAAGATGGCAGAGAAACCAAACTACGATGGGAACAAAGAAAAGGAAGCTCATCCTCATAAAAAGCCTGGAATCTCAGCAGGGTGGTGGGCATTTGAGTCTCGCATGGCCTCAACCTAGAGGGCAGGTATTGCTAAAGTGAAGAGGTCCTTCCAGGGTCCTGATATGAAACTTGCAGGGCGCCAACCCTGCCAGATCAAACCAGTTGGGCAGACACTATGGGAGACAGGTGATCCCTCAAATCCTATGGAAGGGCTTTATAGGTAGTGACCATCACTTTGAATCAAATCATCTGGAAGCAAACTACGGTAGGAACCAGTGCAGTTCATGCCCATTATTGCTAAATTCTATCAGCTGAACCTTCTGGGTAGTCTTCAAGGGCAGCTCCACATACAGTGCATTGCAGTAATCAAGCCATGAGGTGACCAAGGCATGTATTACTGTCTGCAGAGTCCCCCAGATCTAGGAAACTATGGTCCTGTCACTTTTGGTATTCAGCCTCCCCCACCAACTGGGATGCTGTCCCTGGAAGGACATCAAAGAGAGAATACAATACAGATACATTTATTAAAAAAGGATTTAGAAATCACCCACCAAATAACTTGCTAGCCCAACAACTCGTATTTATCTGTATCAGTCATTTCTTCAACCATTTCAGAGGAGAGGCAAAAAAAATGCATCTAGCTACAAAAAAGATTGTATGTTTTCATTCATTAGGATGGCTGTTTTTAACTATGTTTGGAAGGCTGCTACAATTTAATGGCAGATGAGATTTATAATATAAGATATGCCAATAATGCAAATGTATATGTTTATATCATATTAATTTTATTACAGGTATTACAAAAACAGATGAGTATTTAAGAATGTTCCATATATGAGATAAAAAGTATTACAAAAATATACGTAGAAAAGAATTTGATTTTAGTGCAGTTTGAGGCTTAATACAACAATCAATCCAAAGGAAAGTTAAACGTATCATTCAAGAGGTAGCTTTAGTGTAGGATATATTTCCATACACATAAAATTGAATTCGTACACTGCTTCAATAAACGGCATTAGAAATGCAATGAGCTCAAGGTGCACAGTTCTATTTCTTCAAAAAATTATGTTAACATTAGAAAAGAGCATTTCAAACATCCTTACTAAAATTGCATCATTGCTGTGCCAAATAAATATTTATCTTAAAATAAATGTTTAACATAGGGGGGAAAAACCATAGTTAAGTGGGGATCAGGCTTTGAAACAATGTCTAGAACGTTTCTTGAATAGTTATGGCATAGAGGAAAACGTACTATAAACAAATCAATTTTAACAGTAGAGGTTTTGGGTCAATTCATGCTTAACTGAAGTGAGAAGTTAAATTTGCATACTTTAAGATTTCTGTATAAAAAGCTAAAGCTACTCACACTTGTGGGCACAAAATCTTCATCAAAGGAATTCAAAATACTCAATTAGATAGATACTATTTTTCAATGTGGGAAAAATACAAATAGATAACACTGTGATAATCCTTTAAGATCTATTTTTAAAATGCCCAAATAGCTATTTAAGGCATCATTAGTGTGTAAAACAGCAAGCTGGAACAATCCAGTTTAGTACCTTCTGGCAGAATTCAGTGTATCAGCTTCATATTAGTGAAGATTTTCTCCTCAGTGTCTGTTTGTCATAAGAGTTTACAATGTAAAACGTGTTCCTATGCTCCTAAAGGAATATTGAAAATGTAAGAAACAATTAAGGAAAACATGTTTTTAGTTCAAGTACTATGAAAATTGTGTCCGGTTTTAATGCTTAACCTATGTAATATTTAGGTATCTGGCTTACACCATCCTATTTTTTGAATCATTACATATACAGGTAATCCACACTAACTGACCATTCCTTCAGTGATCATTCAAAGTTATGGTGTCCCTGCAGTCATGTAACTGTGATTCAGGCACTTGGAAACCAGTGTGCATTTATGATAGTCACAGCAACCCATCATCATTATTTGCAGCCTTCACAACTGGCTTCTAACAAGCAAAATCAATAGGGAAGCAGGAAGTTGCAAGTCACAGCTACATGATGTCGCACTTAAGAACAGTGGATGATGCACTTAAAGAACACAGCCAGAAGGGACAAAGTGCAATCATAAGCCAGAGGCAGCCACATGTTTCAATTTACAACTATGTCACTTAGCAACAGAGGTGCCAGTCTCAACCGCGGTCAGTAAATGAGGACTACCTATAAAATGAAGCAGAACATGGAGCTAAAGAGGAAGCATCTTCTCAGAACTGTTAAATTCCCATTGAGTTTAAAATGTGTCATTAACTTAAAAAAAGACACATAAGGAACGCAATCTATTGCTGCCAATATGTTTAAGAGACTTAGTCCCATGGAAGAATGCCCTGGCCTGCATACTTTTCAGATAATTATAAACCCCATATTTACTCCTGTTATCAGCAATTGCAGTGTTTCTATCTCTATTAAGGGTTCAACTTCTACCTAAATCCAGTTTCTATAATATTTAACACAGGGGTCCTGCAACCTCCGGGCTGCGGACTGCCATCGGTCCGCGGCCCACCAGGAACTGGGCCATGCAAGCAAATGAAGCCCCATCCACACACACATGGGATGCAGGCAGTGCGCAAAACCACATCGCTGACCCCCTGGTCAGTGGAAAAATCGCCCTCCGTGGAATCAGTCCCCGGTGCCTTAAAAGGTTGGGGTCTCAGATTTAACAGTGAACTTAAGCCTCTGGAAGAATGAGCAGACCATGCTAAATTGCCTCCATAGATGGAAAGGTGGATTTCAGTGCAAATACAATCTTCCCGTATCAAAGTCTTCTCTTACGCATGAGTGAGGAGTGCTCCGCTTCCAAATGGGGTTTCCTCAACCAGGGTTAATGCTTCCTTCAAGCCACGAAAGCAAGGAAATGGTATTAGAAGCAGCAAGCAGTTTTTGCCCCAACTGCCATTCCCTGGAGATAGTTGATGGGACGAGTGGGGGAAGGTGGGATTAAGCATAGATTTGTGACAGTCAAAATTGGTGCTGCATTGAAGACAGAAGCTGACATCGTTGGTAAGCCTGCCAGTTGTCCAACCTTTCATCCCATCTCTTACACTAAGTAATACTGGAAGCTCTCTAGTTAATGAGGCATTGTTGGTTCCTTCCACAGGCATTTTGCAAAAGGAAAGCAAACCATTTCTATGCTAGGTGGATGACTTGGTCAGCAGTAATTCCCCAATAATAATTCCCTATTTGCTCACCAACTGCAGTAATGTCCTAAGAATAGTGTTCTATAGGGCAGGTGATGAGATAGCACCTTATTGCATACATTTGGACCAGGGGTGAAATTTACTTACCTTTCCCTACTGGTTCACAAATGTGAGCATGCGTGCCTCACAGGGACGTGATGACGTCCAGGCGAGTGGGCGGAGCCTCCCACCGCCAGCGCTACTGGATCGCACGATCCAGATGAATTTCACCACTGATTTGGAAACTGATTTGGTAGAACATTTTGTTTTTCTCAAGATCAAATTCTCACCACCATCTCCAGAGAGATGATTTAAAAAAAAACATTATCCTTTTAGCTAATGTTTGTGTCAGGAGATAGCAGACAATATTCAAAACAGACAAACACTTTATCTACTCTGAGATCAAAAAATAAGGGATCAAGGGATAAAATTCCTATACTTTCCAAAAGCTGAGTTCCATTGTTTCTTTTTTAGAGAAATATTTTTAATTTTGCCTAATCAGAACACAATTCACTTCAAATGTTCTGAGAAAAAATTCCAAAAATCTGGTTTCATTTTCTTTAAATGAAAGTGATAAAGAAGCAACATTGTCCTTTCAGACTAGATTTAACAGTTGATTAACATTTTACATTTTTTCATCTTCATTTAGGAGGCCTGAAAAGTCTCCATCTAAGCAGCCTGGCCAAAAAGACAATATATGTAAATGAAAAAGAAAGGATATCATAGCTTCATTCTTCAGATGATGAAGTAATTTCTTTAGAGGAGGGTAGAGACAAAGGGATGGTACACAGCCCAACATAACTAACTTATGTTTGGCTCTTGTAATGGCAACATTAAGACGTCTCCAGTCCTTCAGAAGTTCTCCAACCTATTATTTTTTAAAAAGGAAAGTACAAAGAATGCTCACAAGTTCTCCATTACTTTCAAATGGTAATCATTCCTTTGCATTGGTTACACACAGATCTCATCAATGATAATCATTAACTAACCCCAGAAGAATGATGACCCTCTGCTTCATTTAAAATCAGTGTGATTTCTTTCATATAATTTAAAACTGTTGTCTTAAGCACAAATGGCACCCCACTCTTTTAATATAACATTAGAAATTGTAATCTTTATAGACCTGATCAAAGGTAAGCATTTTTTTTTACATATTACCAACTTTTGATACTAAAGATGATAAAACTTTCTGGGTGAAAAGAAATCAGGAAAATCAATCAATTTTAGTTGGATTGCTCTTGTTTAAAAATGTAGGCAGTTGTTGAAAAACTGTTAGAAAATATTTTGAAAATCATTTTAATTCAAAATAAATATATTCAAATCTGGTCATTTTCTATAATATATTAACCTTTTTTTCCTATTAATTATTGTTATTTGTACAAATGTTCTTCTGGGTAAAAATACCAAGAATGGATGTTTTAAATGATTGTATTCATCATTTTACCATATACATGTGTGCATAAAGAGAGTACATAATTCACTTCTTTTTTTCAGCTTGCTTTCGGTTTTTTTCTTCCTTAACTCTGTATTTTATTTTTTGATCTATCTTATTGTGCCTATTCTTATTAGTTTTATATCAAACTATTATGTATATCTCTTTTATTTCTAACCTAGAGCGCCACTGCAGACGAAAGTGGCATGCTGAATTTTTGGTTTGGCCACTTACAACTAAAAGAAAGCATCTCTGATGCACAGAGTATTAATACAAAAACAAGACTGCAAGGGCTACACCTAATTGACCCTCTGTCTTATCCGAAGTTTATTCGGCTAGTAGGCAAAACAGCTTTATATACATATGGACAAGGGGTGAAATCCGGCAAATATTACAAATATTACCTCTGGCTGGCCCCAGAGTGGGGTGGAAATGGAGATTTTGTGATATCCTTCCCCCAGGAGTGGGGAGGGAATGGGGATTTTGCAGTATCCTTCCCCTGGAGTGGGGTGGGAGTGGAGATTTTGCAGTATCCTTCCCCTGCCACACCCACCAAGCCATGCCTACCACACAGAACCAGTAGTAAAAAAAATTGGATTTCACCACTGATATGGACTCTTCAAACAAAGAGAGGAAACCTGGGAATCTTAGCTACAAGAAAATATCCAAAATGAAAACCAGTCACTCATATTAAGATCCCATATTAGATTTCTTATAGAAAGAAAAAAAAAAGAATAATCTATACAAATTGCTAGTACATCTTTTCCCTTTATCCTACCTGTTAGCACATGAACCTTATGTTCATAACTTAAGTTAAATGTTGGACAATAAACCTAAAATACTTGGAACTATGAACAGGCATATGATTCTATAGTGTTTACTCACATTTCCATCCACATTGTTTCTTACAAAGGATACTATAATTACACTTTTGTCTCTCCCCTGGTATCTGTCCACGGTATTTACTTCTACATCAGTGAGGTACGAGCCTGCCATCAAATCTGAAATGATCTTCAATTGATGTCTATATGGAGATATGACTCCAATATCTGAAGCCTTACAACCAGCCTAAAAAAATAATCCCAGTGTTAAAACTATGGAATCCCAGATGGCTGTGACAGAATGCATTCCAACACTCATCCTTTCAGGAGATTTAGGAAAATAACATATAGAAATGCCTTAAAAGAATCATATCCAATTTGCAGGGTGGATTTGATTTAAATCGAGTTGATTTAAATCACAATTTAAATCATGATTTAAATCACTAGTAAAAAGGCTTGATTTAAATCAACTCGATTTAAATCAGAATTTTTAAAGAGCAACTGTCATCTCTGCTACTCCTTTGACCCACTGTTGACTCACCGATAGTCCCAGTGTTGCAGAATATACAGCCTCATGCTACATAACTAAGCTCCATTTCATGCTGAATAAACTAAATTATTTATGTATCTTAAATAGAAAACTATCTTACGATAGATTTTTACCCCAAGTTTTTTAATAAAATAAATTCGATAAAAATCAAAAAAAATCCGATTTAAATCAAAAAATTGAAAATTAAAAATCATTGATTTTTATCCACCCTGCCAATTTGTGCTACCCACTGATGGTATAATAGGCTAAATGAACTTCTCCTTCGTCTCCTTCAATGCCCTCTTAATCCGATGTTAACTACTAATTACTTTTGATTTTAATGCAACTTTATTCTTAGGTATAAAGGTCAGAAGGTCAGTCCACCTTCTGCTTTTATCTTCTCTTAAGCCGGGGTGAGCAATCTGAGGTCCACAAGAAGAACCCACTTCCTTCTCTGATATTGCTCCCTTATTCCTTGCAACTGAAATAAATTAAGGAAATCAAATGTGTTCTCTGGCTGCAAAAACTATGCCCACTCATCCTAATAACATTAATTATTGGCATATTTTTCTCCCGTACACATTTTAGCTTATTCATCACAGAAATGTATTTTTGTGGATAACTATCCCAAGAACTGACTTATATAGGAACAGATATAAGTTCTTTGGCTATCATGTGGAATGTGTGTTTTGTATCTCAGATAAGAACACAACACCCTACCCTGCCATTCATGCACACTGACCCGCACAGGTTGGAAAAAAACAAGATTCTGCTGCTTTAAAGAATCCAATCATTAAATTAAATGCAACTCCTGAATGAGCAGCAGCACCTTGTCTTATTGTATTTTGCAAAATCGGAAGCTGTTCTTCCAAATCATTTCTGAACTCAGTGCAGTGCTTTCTGTTAAGAGCAAAACGCAGTGGAATCTTTTGCATTTTGCCATCATCATATCGAGGGGGTGGGCTTCAAAAATTTTAGCAAGGGGTTCTCTGCCCGATTGCTGGGTGGGCATGGCCATGGTGGGTGTGGCCTAGTCAGCCTCCTGCACCACAGCGGAGGTGGGGTATTTTTGCCCTCCCCGGGCAGGGGTGAAATCCATCAGGTTCTGGAGAACCGGTAGCAGAAATTTTGAGTAGTTTGGAGAACCAGGAAATATCACCTCTGGCTGGCCCCAGAGTGGGGTGGGAATGGAGATTTTGCAATATCCTTCCCCTGCCATGCCCACCAAGCCACACCATGCCCACCAAGCCACGCCCACAGAACCGGTAGCAAAAAAAATTGGATTTCATCACTGTTCCCGGGCTCTGGAGGCTTTCCTTGACCCTCCAGGAAGGCAAAAACGGCCTCCCCAGGCTCCGGAGGCCCTCTGGAAGCTGGAAACAGGCCCATTTCCAGCCTCCCAAACTTCCAGTAGGCCCGTTTTTCGCCCTCCCTGAGCCTCCGCACGTGCCCTGCACTTACCTTTATCCAAAACGGGTCATGTGGGGACTCCTGGGTGGGGCGGGCAGGGATAGCCAGGAGTGGGATTTGAGGGTTCTCCGAACTGGACAGAGTCTTAGCTAGAGGTTCTCCCGAACCCTTGCAAACCCCCAGCAGCTCACTCTTGACTACACCCCCAGTTACTACAATTACACCGTACAGTGATTTCTGCTTTAATTCTGGACACACGTCAACATTGATGTATTATGCACTAAACCAGAGGTAAGCCCCTTTTCCCACCTGAAGGCTCCTAAAAGAAGGAGCATTTCAGGTGCTTTATCCACATCTACATATAAATCCTGCTGCCTGGCACCCCTACAAACTTCCCATTTTTAATAGGAAGAAAGAGGGAAGACAGATCTGCTTCCCCACAGGAAAAGAAAGGAAACTGCATTCTTCCTCACCCCAGAAAACAATAACGAATTGCCAGCTTTTTTCTGCAAATGAAATGAATTTTCAACAACTTGTGATTAGAGGAAATTTGAAGCTTGGTCTTCAAGTGTCATGAATTCCAAGGGGCAAAACCAACCTGCGGGGCATGAATCACCAATCTCATCACACACCCCAAAACATATTGAGGCCAGGCAATTTGAAGGACTGAATAAGTGTAGACTACTAGTATACCTCTTTATTTATCAAGTATCTCAATATAAATGCACAAATAAAATCTCTAGTGTTAACTACAAGAGAAATACCTTCAAAAACATGGATGTGAGGAAGACCACCAGTCTGGCTTCAGTCATGTTACTTATACAACCTTTTTCTGTCTGTTCTGGGGCTTCAACCTGGATTAAAGACCAACATCGTACATCTGAATCCATAGCAATGCAAATCTGAAGCTGTTTGTTAGTTTAGGAAGACTATATTGAGCTATATCAAAAACTGCTGCAGGGTAGATTATATAATTATGCTGAAGGGGACAAATTTTACACTAATGCCAGTCATATTGGAATTGAACATTTGGACATTTTCCAAAGCAAATTGCTTTTAATTGAACCGTTTTCAAGGAAGAAAAAGAGAATAATATTTAATTACTACATCAAGGGAAATAGAAAAGGAAAGAAAGACAGGATAGAGCAGTGATGGTTAACCTTTTTGATGCTGAGTGCCCAAAGCGAATGTACACATGCGTGCCCGAACTCCCAAAATGCAATGTGAGGGCCCCCCGCGCATGCACCCCCTGCACATACGCCCCAGTCCCCCCCCTTGCAAATACACCTCCCCCACACCCCATTTTGGCTTCCAGGTTGGTGCAGGCTTTCCAGGCCCAAAAATGGGGCATGTTTTGGGCCTGAAAAGCCTCCTGCATCAACCTGCCCCCCCACATGTGCATATGTGTCCCCCGCATGCACACCCCACCCCCCGCATGCACAGCAGAGACCCGAAGACCAGCTGGCCGGCGGGAGGCACACACACATGCCATAGGTTCGCCATCACGGGTATAGAGAATAGAAGGAAGAGAACAAAAATAACTGATAAGACTGTTGGGATAAGAGAGAGATTTACACTGGATGAAACAGAGAGGCCATTTTTATTTTGCTCAAGAACGAAATACCACATGGTATCAACCCCGAAGCTGACCTGACACATGGTCCCTGCCACTATTCTCCTGATGGAAGTTAAAGGCAACCGTCAGAGACCTCTTCATTTTAATTCTGCACCTTCAATTTCCTGAGAAACAGAACAAAACCCAACATCAAATTGCCTTGGGGAATGAGAAGAGAGGCCCAATAAAAGTTACCTTCTCTGTGTTAAGGAAACAAACGGGATTATTTGGATCAAGTGTTTCTTTTAGCCATGTTTCTGAAGAAGACTCTTCCAGTTTTAGTTTTTTTAAGTTAGGCAAGTCAATGATAGCTCGGGACACCTTTTCAGAGCCACATTCCAATTTACCATCATACACCAGCTTGTTGCTCAATGACATAATTTTACTAATGGGATTTAAAATGGGAAAAAAAAAAGAGTTAGATTTTACCAGTCTTGTGGTGTGGCAAAACAACATGTTTCATGCTTACATACCTGTTCATTCGGTACTGGACAGTTAGACGCACAATAGCATTCTTATTTTGTTCCAGCCTTTTGAATAAACTTTCACTCATGCCAAGTTCTCTGCAACAAAAATTCAGCCAGTGACTTGCACGTAGCATGGCTAATGGTATGTATACATTCCTACAGTGTGTCACGCTGCCTACCTTGCTTCTGGATTTTGCACAAGTGGAGGCAACTGCTGATGGTCTCCCACCAGCACAAATCGAAGTGAATAGAAAAGAGGGCCAAGGCAGATGGGCTGGCTAATCTGAGAAGCCTCGTCCACTATGCAGAAGTCAAAACGTTTACGAGTGAAGATTGGATGGTTTATTCCCATGCATGTCGTTGCAATGACTGGCTGGAAAAAAAAAAAAAAGAGAAAGTATGATGATGATGAAAAGCACCTCTTTTCAACCCTAAATCAGAAATGCATTCAAGTTCAAACAATACTAGACTGTGTTCCCTGTACAAGTTATTAAATGCAGTTTTTTTGTTTGTTTTTTTTAAATTTGATTTATATGCCGCCCTTCTCCGGAGACTCAGGGCGGCTTACAATGCGTTAAGCAATAGCCTTCATACTTTTGTATATTTATACAAAGTCAGCTTATTGCCCCCATAATCTGGGTCCTCAATTTACCTACCTTAGAAAGGATGGAAGGCTGAGTCAACCTTGAGCCTGGTGAGATTTGAACTTGCAGTAATTGCAGACAGCAGATGTAAGTGGATGTTAATTAGTCTGCTGAGCCACCAGAGCTCTTAACTTAATGTCTCTCTGTTGTCAGAATTGCGATGGGGCCAAATATAATTTATTATATCAGCTGCCTATGGGGATTCTCAGTCATCCAGGCAGGGGTGGGCTCCTGGGGGTTCGGCAGGATTCGGGCGATCCTCTAGCTAAGGATCTCCAGGGTTCGGCGAACCCCCAAATGCCACCCCTGGCTGGCCACGCCCACCCTGTCCCTCCCAGGAGTCTCCATGTGGCCCGTTCATCATTCCAGGTAAGTGTAGGGGCTGCGCGGAGGGTCTGGGAGGGCAAAAAAATGGGCCTACCAGAGGTTCTGCAAGTCCAGAAATGAGCCTGTTTCCAGCCTCTGGACCCCGGGGGAAGCCATTTTCGCCCTCCCGGAGGCTTGAAAAAAGCCTCTGGAGCCTGGGGAGGGTGAAAAACGCCCCCCCACCCCCGGTGGTGCAGGCGGCTGATTAGGCCACGCCCACCATGGCCACGCCCACCCTGCAACAGGGCAGTGAACCTGTTGCTAAAGGATCTGAAGCCCACCCCTGCATCCAGGTCATGGTTGTCTCAAAGGTGCTTTTTTCAAGAGGCAACTGGACTTTCTGGTTTTTCTTCGAAGACGTTTCACTTCTTCATCCAAGAAGCTTCTTCAGCTCATTATTCTAGCTGTTTATATACCTACCTATTTTCCCTTCTAACTTTTCATGAAATTGGTGGCAGGGAAGTAAAGTTGATCAAAGGTGAAGTAGAACGGTAAACCTTTCTCTGCAACCATTTATCTGTCACGGATTATTTACAGAAATTTAAATGGTAAGATGTTTGTTAAGTGCATTGGTAATAACATCTGAGAATTCCTTTTTATCTTGTAGAATATATAACAGGCTGGCCAACCTCTGCATTCTTTGGACAACTCATAATTCCCTTAGATTCTTAGGAATATACATTTATTATCTCGCAAACTGATTCTCTCTAAATGAACAGGTTTCATGTTAAAATTTGCATCATCTAGTGGCAAAGACTCCCAATTACAGAGCCCCAAAGTGGCTTTTGTTATTTGCAGGGATTCCTTTCCAGCACAGCAACTGTGGATTACAACATTAGAAATCCTGAGAATTTGAAGGAATGTAACTTATGAGTGGGCGAATCCATCTTCTTTTGCACAGGTGTAAAGCAAGAAAAAGCAGTCCCCAAACCGCAAATTTATCAAACTCTTGACCATGGATACTGAGATCTATTCTCTTTTTAAGCAGTAAAATCATGCAGAATGGAGCTATGGCTAAAAGTCCCTTTGTAAAAATCATGTATATATAATATGAAAAAAAAAAATTAAAGATGCAATTATCTTTGTTGTAAATATGAATGAACCTTTCTTATTCATTTGATTGAAACCTAGTATGATCTCTTAATGAAGACGTATGAAATTAAAACAACATATCACCAACATAAACTTCCCAATAGGGACACTTTTTAGGAACACTAGACTCCTGAAAGGCATTTTCCTTACCTGACTTTGGTATAGTTCCTCCAACTGAGCCACAGTTTTAATACACTTTGATCTGCAGATCTCTTCTTCTGTAAACCTCTTTATGTCTGGATGAACCTTCTGAGCTCTTCCTAGCCTCAAAAATCCTACTTTGAACTTGGCTAACTTAAGAAGGATATTGTCAACTGCTGTATGGGTAAAACTAGTTAAGAGAACGCTGAAGCCACAAGCATAAAGAATCCGAACCTAAAACATGGGAAAGACAACCAAGGAAAAAGGAATTTTAACCTGTATTATATTTAGTTCCCCTGTGCTGATTCCTATCCCATCCCACCCGAAGTAATATGAGAGCAGATCAGAAGGCATCAACTCTTACTTTCAAAAAATGTTTTTAAGAAAGTCTACAGAATTATACAGGCCAATCTCACGCAAGTAGTCCACTCTGGACATTTTTCACTAACCACCATGTGCCATGCACATGTTCAAAAGGTATATATATATAATATATTTATTTATTTTAGAGAATTTATATAGCCACCTACTTGCTCACAGCAACTCTAGGCGGCTTACAGACAATAAAAACAAGTAGAAAAAAAAAGATAAAAAAATAATTAAAAACCCCACTCCCACTCGGTAACAACATACACTCAAATCACCCCTTTAATCGGCTCCATCCCATTCTGGGTTCCTCAGGTTTGCTGGCAAAACCACGTCTTCAGGGCCTTATGAAAGAGTGGGAGCCAGTATAATTTCTGGAGGGATGATGTTCCAGAAGGAGGGAGGCACTATGGAGAAGGTCCTTCTTCTAGATCCCTCCAGATGGACTTCCTTAGGGGATGGGACCAGGGGTGAAATGCTCCCGGTTCAGACTGGATCACCTGATCCAGTAGCGATGGCGGCAGGTGATTCAGAGAACCAGTAGCAAAAATCCCTGCCCCCCCCATGCCCAGCTGAGCCGCGCGATCATCAGAGGCTGTTTTTTTTTTATTTTTAAAAGCATTTTTTCTACAACCCCTTCGAAAAAATGCTTTTAAAAGTCAAAAAAAAAAAAAGCCTCTGATGGTCATGCGGCTCAGCTGGGATCGTCAGAGGCTTCTAAAAGCATTTTTTTCTGCAACCTCATAAGGTTGTAGAAAAAATGCTTTTAAAAGTAAAAAAAAAAAAAAAGTTGGCCACGCCCACCCAGTCACATTACCCCACCACCACCACCAAGCCACGCCCACAGAACCGGTAGTAACAAATTTTAGATTTCACCCCTGGACGGGACCCATAATATTCCTTGCATCCCTGCTCTAGTGGATCGGGTGGATGTGACCAGCATGAGACAGTCCCTCAGATAACCTGGTTCCAAGCCATGAAGTGCTTAAAAGGTGATAACCAGCATTTTGACTTGCATCTGGAAGTAAATTGGCAATGCAGCTCCCACAGGAGAGGTGACACGTGTCATGTGACAGGAGTCTGAATCTGACGGAAGACGAACAGCTGACAGAGAGCGAGAGAGTGGCTCCCTTGGCTGTAGAGGAAACTGGGGAAAGGCAAAGCCAGGCTGGGCAGAGCAGGGGAGAGGTAGAACAAGGGAGAGGGGGTTCAGCCACCCCCTCCTCATCCTAGTGCATGCAGAGAAGAACGGAGAAGAGAGCAACACGGGTTGCGCAGCTAACGAGAAAGGAGAGGGACCCGATCTTCTTCACAAGGCACACCTGGGGATGGAGTTTAAAGAAGCGGCAAATGGGAGGGGCAGTTGTCATGAACAAACGCTGAGTTCATCTTGTGTTAACTGCTTTATCTGAGTTCCTAGCATCCTCTTAACTGATTTGATTTACTGCCATGCTACTTCACTTCTGGAACTCCTTATCTTGCTTGCCCTGCCGGATTAATCACTTTATCTTGCCTTGTTCGATTTATAGTTGGAAGTTTTCTGTTTATAACACTTGGACTGGAGTATTTTCAGCCAGCGGCTGTTACAGTTTTGTGAGAGAATTTTTCTCCAGACCAGAGAGTAAAAGGAACACTGGGGGCAAAGTTGGAGCTAATTTCAATTTAATTTAATTTAATTTCCAATTTATATACCGCCCTTTTCCCTGAGGACTCAGGGCGGTGTACAGCCAAGATAAAAAACATAGAATACAAATATTAAAACATTTAAAAATATATATAAATTTTGGCCCGAAAGTTAAGAATCACAAACTAATTAAAAGAATTTAAAAATTTCTTCTTAAGCCAACCCGGCTTGCTGAAAAAGATGGGTTTTCAGGGAACGACGGAAGGCATTGAGGTCATGGATTCTTCTTATCTCCGTGGGCAACTGATTCCAGAGAGTGGGAGCCCCCACAGAGAAGGCCCTCCCCCTGGGGGCCACCAGCCTGCATTGATTGGCTGATGGCACCCTGAGGAGGCCCTCTCTGTGGGAGCGCACGGGTCGATGGGAGGTCGTCGGTAGCAGCAGGCGGTCTCGGAGATAGCTAGGCCCTATAATAAAGGGACTCATACTTATTCTCTGGCTGTGTTGCCTTTGTGCCATGCCCCGGGTCATCACAACATGTGCACACCAAGGTCTGTACAAAACCACGCAGAGTGTTGCATTTTGAACCAACTGGAGCTTCTAGATGTATTTCAAGGGAAGCCCCATGTGGCAATAGTCAAGACAGGAGGTAACTAGGGCATGAGTGACCGTATCAACCATGCAGATTTCCTCCACACTGTAGGAAATCTGAGTGGAAAAATGAGGGCACTCTATTCTCATGTCTCTGGCAAGTAAAGGTCTATGCACTATGTATAAATTCAAGGGTGAGCAACTTTTTGATAGTCAATAGCAGTGTGAGTGCAGTGGGCAGATTACAATGCAAAGCAGATGGCGAGTAGGAGAATGTGATTTAAATACAGGTAATCCTTGTTTAGCAACTGCCTCATTTAGCAACTGTGCACAGTAATAATGAAAAAGTAACTTTTAAGAGTTGAATTGCCCATCCCAATTGTGGTTACTAAATGAGGACTACCTGTATATTAAACCTATTTCAGGTCATCTTTCTTTCTTTCCATCTTAAAGTGACAAAACAGTGTCATTAGTTTTCAGCAACTACAGCTCTGCAGGCCAAAAAAAAAAAAAAAAAAACCACCAGGAACTGAAGGCCATCCAATACCCTAAGATTTGACTTCAAGGTTGACTCAGCCTTCCATCCTTCCGAGGTAGGTAAAATGAGGACCCGGATTGTGGGGGCAATAAGCTGACTTTGTATAAAAAAAGAACACCGTTTGGGGGGGCCGAAAGCCCTACTAAGCAGGTATATACAAAAGTATGAAGGCTGTTGCTTAACGCATTGTAAGCCGCCCTGAGTTTCCGGAGAAGGGCGGCATATAAATCGAACCAATAAATAAATAAATAAATAAATAAATAAATAAATAAATAAATAAATAAATAAATAAATAAATAAATAAATTTGAGTGTTCCAATATTTGAGGGGCTCCTACAAAGATGAGGTGGTCAAACTATTTTCCAAAGCACCAAAAGGCAAGATAAGAAAAAACAGATGGAAACTAATCAAGGAGAGAAGCAACCTAGAACTAAGGAGAAATTTCCTACAGGAGAGAGCAATCGACCAATGGAACAGCTTGCCTTCAGACGTTGTGGGTGCGTCATCACGGGAGGCTTTCAAAAAGCAACTGGACAACCATTTTGTCTGAAATGATACAGAGTCTCCTGCTCAAGAGGGGTTGGACTATAAGACCTCTAAGACCCCTTCCAACTCTATTTTTTTTTTTTATTTGATTTATATGCCGCCCTTCTCCGGAGACTCAGGGAGCTACAAAGTCAGCTTATTGCCCCCACAAACTGGGTCCTCAATTTACTTACCTTAGAACGGATGGAAGGCTGAGTCGACCTTGAACCTGGCAAGATTCTATTATTCTATGATTGCCCATTCTGCTGTACATAATGAAGATTACGGAGGGTTGACACATTTATTCACAATCAGAAGCAACTAGCCTATGAGCTCTGACATATATTTTTTTTGTCATATTGGAGAGGGTTCTGAACTTCCCTACTGGTAAAATGTGAAATAGCTACTGAATTTATACATGCTGCAGGTATACAGATCTGAGATTTTCAATGACTTAACTGTCAAGAATTCATTGGTTCAATAGGTATCATAAATAATGTCCACATTAAGAACATAGTCACAACCTGGTTTGTTTCGTTAAACAATCTTTACATTCTGGAAGTTACAACTTGAGTATCAAAATTATCATATTGACCCTAGCATTAGGTCAAACAAAGGGGCAGTTGCTAATCCTTTTTCAAAGTCAGAGGGCCCAGGGGTGCTATTCAGCAGGTTCTGACAGGTTCTGGAGAACTGGTAGCGGAAATTTTGAGTAGTTCGGAGAACCGGGAAATACCACCTCTGGCTGGCCCCAGAGTGGGGTGGGAATGGAGATTTTGCAATATCCTTCTCCCAGGAGTGGGGAGGGAATGGGGATTTTGCAGTAGCCTTCCCCTGGAGTGGAGTGGGAATTGGAGATTTTGCAGTATCCTTCCCCTGCCACGCCCAAGCCACGCCCACCAAGCCACACCACACGCCCACCAAGCCACGCCCACAGAACCGATAGTAAAAAAAATTGAATTTCACCACTTTCAGAGGCTTATACAAGACCTTACCAAAGCACAAATCGTTGTAGTCTTTCCAGTTCCGGGCATACCAACAATAAGGGTGTAATCCTTTGAAAGGAGAACTTGCTTCATTGCTTGTTTCTGGGGTTTATTCAATCCTAGGATTTACCAAAGAGAAAAATGGTGAGGAAAAGAAGAAAAAGAAATCTCCCTCTGCCTCTGAGCTATTTTGCCTCCTTGCAGCAAACAGCCTGCTTTACTTTCATTTTCGTTTTCAGCATAGCTTGATTAGCACAAGGAAAATTTACCTCTTTGCAGCAAGCAGCAGAGCCTGCACAAAATAGCTGAGAGCAAATCAGCTGAGAGTCGGGAGGCCGATCCAATCAACTTGTGCTAATTAGGCTGTGCTGAAGCTGAAAGGGGCTGTTTTTTCTTGCTGTTTGCTTGCAAGGAGGTAACTGCTGGGAAGCAGAGGTCAAAGGGTGGGGGCCAGTGGGTGGGTGGGGCTATATTCAGTGTATAAGATGCACCTAAATTTTCATCCCTTTTTAGGGGGGGAAAAAGGTGCGTCTTATACTCTGAAAAATACAATACTTCCATCTAATCCTATAATGTTCCAATGAATACAGTACAGGCAGTCCTCAACTTATGATCATAATGGGGACTGGAATTTCTGTTGCTAAGCATGTCAGTTGTAAAGTGAGTCACGCCCAATTTTACAACCTTTTTTTTTGCCATGATTGTTAAGTCAATCACTGCAGCTGTAGCCATTAAGCGAAACCAGCTTTTCCCCCATGGACGTTGTTAGATGGAAACCAGCTGGGAAGGTCACAAATGGCTACTCTAAACCTGATTGTAAGATGAAAGAGGCAGAAATAAAATTAGATAGGGGAAATATTAGAATATAAATCTTTATAGAATGAATAATAATAATAATAATAGATGGAAAGATTAGAAGCTTACACGTTAGGCATTTCTTTATGTATGTTTAAATAATATGAGGATTACTTAAATTTGATAAATGTGATAGAGATTACTAACATTGTTACCGTGAATTCAATTAATATGAATGATACCCAGAAATAACTTTGCATATACATAATAAAGAAATGTTTAGATTGAATAAGAAAGACATAGATGAAAATAAAGAGATAAAAGATGAGGAGTTGGGCATTTTTTGTTCATTTATGTTTAAACAATATAAGCAAGATTGCTTAAATTTGATAAATGTGATAAGAGATTATTAATATTGTTACTACGAATTGGATTAATATGAATGATACCCAGAACCAACTCTGTCCACACACAATATGGATGTATATTTAAAAAATAATAAAAAATATAATTTTAGGAAGAAAAACAAAACAAATGACTACTCTGCGACTCCTGGGACACTGCAACCACCGTAAATACATGCAAATTGCCAAGTCCCAAACTTTTGATCATGTGACTATGGGGATGCTGTGATTGTTGCAAGTGCAAGGACCGGGTTGCAAGTTAGTTTTTCAATGCTGAATCTTCAAACAGTCGCTAAACAAATGGTTGTAAGGTGAGGACTAGCTGTATAGCATTCTCCAAAGAAGCGGACAAAAATGTTCTACTAGAACAGGCATCTCTGTGAGGGAACCAGAGAAAGCCATTTACCTCAAATCGAGCCCCCAATCATTTTTTCTATTAGCCAAGAACTGAACCTGGAACTAATTCACTGTAGTCACTCTCTTGTGGTAGAAGTAACACTTGTTCTATGCAAAGGTAAATTTGTAAATTAAACCTTGCTTCTATTTATTTTTCTGGCAGTTATATTAGCAATAAATGCTCATTTCCCCAAAAAAAAAAAAAGCACATGGGATGTTCCACTAGTAAAAAAGTGCTTGTCAGAGAGAACTAGTTGGAGAAAAACCTGTGGGCTTACTTGTAGTTACTTTATAACCGACTACTGAGTCCTGATATTTGCAAAAAAGGTGGAAATGTGAACCATCCTAAAGAAACCAGGGAATAATTGGCTCTTTAGGAGAAATTGTCAAGACTGAACCGCTTTGCTTCTTTCAAACCTTATCGCTGGTCGACTTGCCAATGAACAGGGGGGAGGGAAGGGTGGAATGGAGTGTTGAGAAGTTGTGTGGGGATCGTGAGAGCCTGGAAACCATCAAAGTCACCACTGCAGGTGCTTGAGAAGGAGATGGACTGTTCCCATAACAACAGGACATCTCATAATTGGACAATGTAATTACCCAGAGGTGGGAAGAAAGGGAAGCCATTCTTTAACTAGACAAAGATTTGCACGGGAAAACCAGAGCTGGTTTTGATTCTTCAGTACCAAAATGGTATAACCCCGTGATGGCAAACCTGTGGCACGCAGAGCCATATCTGTGGGCATGCGAGTGTTGCCCTAGCTCAGCTCCAGCCTGCACACACACAAAGGCCAGCTGATTTTCAGGCCTTTCAGGCCCACCGGAAGTCAGGAAACGGGCCATTTCCAGCCTCCGGAGGGGTGGGGAAGGCCGTTTTCGTCCTCCCCAGGCTCCAAGAAAGCCTCTGGAGCCTGGGAAGGGCGAAAAATGGGCCTACCGGGCCCACTGGTAACCTTTTTGCCATCAGGCGCCAAAAGCGGGGGGAGCGCAGAGAGGTCACGTGCGCATGCGCGGGGCGGCATTGAATTATGGGTGTGGGCACGCTCATGCACAACCTCCCCGTTCTCCCCCTGCTTTTGGCACATGACGGCAAAAAGGTTAGCCATCACTGGTATATCCAATAAAGTTTTACTTTTGGAAATTCAAAACTCCCAAAAGTATTTCCTTATTTTGGATTCAGTCGAACAGTTGGCAGAAATTCAAAATGCTTCTTCAGCCCAGAAAATTCTATATACTAATACACTTAAAAATCCAGTACAAAAAATTACCCTTCTTCATATAGTATCTGTAAGAATTATAAATTACAAACAGATGAACTTGGAATTTCAAATTTTGCTACCAACTCTCTGAATAGATTTTCAATATTGTGGCATTGACAATTCTTTTAAGATATGCCTGCTTATGAATATTACTCAATAAAATTATATTGTGGAATGAGCTTATTGCTGAAGGTATACAGATTCTAATATATTTGTGTCACAAGGATTTGCAGCTGAAAGGTATTAATTTAATACTCTGAAAACTGGACTATTTTTCCCTCTATGAGGGAGATGGGCAGTTTTAAAAAATGATAAATAAATTATAAGTAATAATCTTTTGTCCCCTGTACCTTTCAGAATGTTTGCAACCGTGTCCTTTGCTTCTGGAGGAAGAACGGAACTCAAGTATTGAACAAACTGTGGCTTGTAGAAGTCTATTATTAAGCTACGAAGCTTTTCACTAAAACAGAAGAGAGGGAAAATGAAATAGTCAACTGTGGAAATATTTCTAAGAGTAATGTTACGTGTGGAAATAAAGAACAGAAAAATACCTGGCAGGAGAATTTTCCATTAATTTAGAAAGATTTGCTAAAGGAGCTCCTATCCCAAATTCTCCTTCCTCATGATCTAATCTATATACAGTATCCCCAGGGAGATGAGATAAATTCCTGAAACACATTAAACAGAACCAGTAAAATTCCACAAGAAGTTCAAATACCTCCTGCCCATACAAGATATGCATTTAAATCTGCTGGCCATTGTGATACAGTGGCTTCTATAGAAGTCCCATTTCTCACCAGAAACACACCTCATCCTGACATTCAAACATCTCCAGAGAAAAATATTTTACTAAAACTGCATGAAATCCTAAGTACAAGCAGTATTGATATTTAACAGCTTCAATAAGGCAGACATGCAAGAATCTACATACAGATCTGCCAATGTCACAGTAAATATCACTGTTTATTAGCAGGCACATGTAATCTTATTTTGCAATTAGAAAATGATGCTTTTTTTAACTCTCAGCGAGTGAAATATAAATGCAAGCAATACAATGCAACCAATACCTATCCAATAAACAGGAAAGTTTGGTTCTCTCAATCTCCTGAATATAGCCAGTAGATAAGCCAAGCAAACTGCTGTCTTCATCACTTAGAACAACTCTGTCCCCAACCATCAAAGTTGTGATTGGCACACGATCATCTCTACGCTGGAACCAATGTAGATACTGTCCATCCGAAACTTCTACTACATTTTCCATTCTGATCATATTTCCAATGCAGTCCCCGTGTTTTTCTCTGCAAACATCAAGAACAAAGAATAAACTGGGTTTGGATTTCTTCCATTAGATAAAAAACTCAGGCTATACCATTTCTTCTGCCTTACTGTAGTGTGTAAAATGAAGTTTACGAATGAGCTTACAAAAATCACTGTTAATACTTGCTTAAGTCTTTGTCTTACCTTTCTGCAGCACGCAGCATCCATATATTTTTACACCCTTTTTTCCCATCTTTATACTGTGACTCCAAAGTTAGCATTAAATACCAGAGGTGGAAATATTCCAAGTGAGAAGGCTTTAAATGACAGATCTCCTTTTCATTAGCAGCCACCGTATCTTGAGGTATTGAGACATCTTTCTGGTGTTCTACGGCCCTGAAACACAACTGAACATGAGTCCACCTCAAAAAAAAAATCTAGATTGTATGATTCCTGCTTTCCTGTTCAACCCTCTGTTACATGGTTCCTTATACCAAACCAAGAATGATTCTTGAAATTGTGGTGTCAGACATTCTGGACTAAGGCACACTTTCATATAATCTCTTTATAAAAAAAACTTACCTACTGTAAAGTACACAGTTCTGCTTCTGAGAACAATAGCTACATGCTTGGCTATCATTAATCAAAGGAGGTAGAGGGGCAAGCTGTGTTTGCTTTTTTCCTATAGATTTATATGTGCTGTGAATAGAATAGAAGGCCAACTGATTTCTCAGTTTAATCAGTTCTGCAAAAGAGAAAAAGAGAAAATAACTTTAGACACTCTCAATTGTCAAGGTCATGAAAAAAACATACAGCAAAACTTGGGCATTTAGTATATTTGAGGACTGGCCCTATAAATTTATTCCTCCATTCACCCGAAAATGAACAAATTATTAAATACAGTCAGCCTTTTTATTAAATGTAGTTCTGCGGGCTAACAGGACAACTTTGAGAGTGCAGATAACACACACACACACACCTGAAAGTTTGCTGGACTGGTTAAGGGAAGGCTTCTGGGCCAGTTCAAAGTCCTCATCATTACCTATTAGGCACAGCCCTGTGATATATGAAGATGACTTGCCGTAACTCAGGGGTGTCAAACTCGATTTCATTGAGGGCCACATCAGGGTTGTGTTTGACCTGGGGGAGGGGCAGGGGGCGTGACCAGCTCGATGTCACTCGTGTTGGTGGCGCCTGTGGTGGCCCGAGCGCTGTGCCAGGAAAAACGTGTTCCTGAGCTCTGTTTTTGGCTGCGACGGCCTCCTGAAACCCTTTGCCTGCACAAATGGAGCTCATGAGGCGCCTCCTGAGTTCCATTTTGCTGGCAGAGGGTTGCAGGAGGCCGTCGCAGCCAAAAACGGAGCTCGGCCTCCCAAGCTCCGTTTTCGCTGGCAGAGGCACCACGGGCCAGTCCTCATTTCCTTCTCCAGTGGATCACGTTTTGTCAGAGCTCTCTGCTATGACCTGTCCGTCCTGGGTGGCCCTACACGGCATAGCTCATAACTTCATTGAGCTACACAAGCCCCTTCGCCACGACAAGGCAGTAATCCATGAAGGGGTTACTCTGAAACTCAAATACTTTGGCCACCTAATGAGAAGGAAGGACTCACTGGAGAAGAGCCTAATGCTGGGAAAGACTGAGGGTAAAAGAAGAAGAGGACGGCAGAGAACGAGGTGGCTGGATGGAGTCACTGAAGCAATCGGCATGATCTTAAATGGACTCCAGAGGATAGTAGAGGCCAGGAAGGTCTGGAGGAACGTTGTCCATGGGGTTGCGATGGGTCAGAAATGACTTCGCAACTAACAACAACAGGGATAGACAGTGAGAATATAACCCAACTTATTTTCTTAAGTAAGAAAAACTGTAGGTTGTTCTAGAATGCTTTTAGAGCCCCTTCCAATCATACCATTTAAACTTTAAAAAGTATCTACTCCTCCTTCTCTGCTACATTATATGTGTTTCAAAATGTATTTCCTTTTACATCTAGGTTCAGAGGCTGTTTTAGTTTTTTGCCATAAGATCCACAAACACATACACAAAGGCCACGATGAAAACAGTACAATAGAAAGATGGGGGAGAAAATATTGTAACTATACTCCCACGTAGATATTTTTGCTATCACAAAAGTTACCTCTCCTATCCATACGACTTCCTACTACAGGAATCATATTGCCTGTTTTCAGATATATAAGAAATCCACCTTCAGGATCAACTCGCCTTTCTTGACACAGTAAGGAGTACAAAATTACCTAAAAAGATATTTAAAAGAAAATCGAAATTAAGCATAGAAACAAAATGAAGATATTTGCAGCATTTTAGTTTAATGAGAAAGATCATTAAAACTACAGTAATTCAATATTTTCTGGTACGTGACCATCCTAAGATCATCAATGCAGAGTAAGTGCTATGTAAATTCTAACCCCAGAAACAATCTCATAGAATTGCATCAGATGATGGCTTGCGGTTGCCTAAATGAAAACATTCCGCCCTCAAAGATATTCTAACCATTATATTAAACAGACTCCGGTAGCTGGCTGTTATAGATGACACAGTCTTCTCCTAACTTGCCAGGAATGTCAAACAAGATATTCCTGGCACCTTTCAACTATGAAGACCAAAAAGGCAATGTCAGGGAATCATGGAAATAAACCCTCATTCAGCACAGATGATTATCTACAAAATGCTTTGTAAGTATGTCCATCAGGATGCTCTTATATATATTGTGAATGCCTTCAATAATCTTATATTCTTCATGTATTTAAACTGTACATTCCATATATATTCCAATATGTACCTGACTTCTATGCTCTACAGAGTTAGACTCTTTTCCACTTTTAAGCTCCAGTGGCATTATTCTGGTCTGAATTTTAGATCTTTCATGAATGGTTACTCCAGCTGTAACATCAATCTTGCCTTTTAAGCCAAACTTGGGGCACCAGATATTCTCCTCAACATCCAGGATTTCTGTAACTTTGACATTATAACAGGATTTACCAGTAGCTCCTAGCCTGTCACAAAACAATTTGTATATGTTAATTTAAACTGTTAACTATGCATTTCCTGAAAGACACAAGGAAGAACAATTAAAATCCTGCATTCCTGTTCAATAGGACTGAAATAGTACTCTTAAGAGAATGCTTCTAAACAACTTAGGCTATTATTTGTCTGTGTTTAGCTCCTGAATTAAAGAACACATCAGCATAAATATTCAGCGCAGCCATGAACAGGACCAGCCTTTTGCGAAGATCACAGCAAAAATTGGATGTTTTCTGGAAAAGATGCAACCAAACTGCTTCTAGCTTTTGATTACTAAATATAGCTCGCCTACATCCGCAAAGCTATGAATAATACAAGCTTGAAGAGGTGTTGTCGCTGGATAGTTCAGATGACACAATAAAAATTTAACAATTTGTATTGAGGGGAGAAGCCAAGGAATTGAAGACATGAATACAAATTTGTGCTGTGGTGATTTGCTACATAATTTATTGAATAAAGCACAATTGGATGCGTTTATGATACACTAAGCCATAAAACATGCAGGCCACATGATGCCTTGTGATATAAAAGCAGACTGCAGGATAGCTACCGTATGTGCAGCTTCCACCAAGACCCTCTCAGGAATTTGGAAAATCAAAATTATTTGCCAAATAATGAAGATATTTGCAAAAATTTAAAACACTCATTATTTATTGTTAAAAATGTTTAATGGGAAATATTTGTGTTAATATCTAAGGGTTTAATATTTTTACATGATTTGATAATCCAATTCTATGAATGCATCCATTTTAATTTTAAATGTGGTAAATATTAAGGCTGGGAAACATTGCACTAAAGCGTGTTAAGTTTGTTCGTATTCAATGAACAATTACTTACGGTTTTAACTGCACATTATTTTGGCTGTGTTTGTATGTATAGACTTCTGCCCATTTAATAAAAGATGGTAAGTATTCCTCAATCTCATGCATTATATCCTTTTGCTCCAGATTTAACTGATACCTTCAGAAGTGAAAGAAGAATGTTAGAAACTGGACAAGAAAATTTCTTGGGCTTTTTCGTTTAGCAAAAAATCAGCTATAAGATATTGAAAAGGGGTCAGGATCATAAAATAATTTTATTAATAAAATGGTAACTTAATTCAATGATTGGTTGATTGATTGATTGGTATTCCTCCTTTATTATTTTTATAAATACTTCAAGGCAGAAAACATATCCAAACACACCTTCCTTCCATTTTCCCCACAGTAACCCTCAGTTGCACTGAGAATTACTGGCCCAAAGTCATCCAGCTGGCTTTCAGGGCTAAGACAGACTTAAAATCAGTCTAGACCAGGAGTGTCAAACTCATGTCATCACAGTGGTGTCATGTGACGTATCGGGACTTTTTCCCCCTTCACTAAACCGGGTGTGGGCGTGGCCAGCACGTGACGCATCCGGCCCATGGGCTGGGAGTTTGACAGCCCTAATCTAGACCAAACTCGATCTGTGAACCAAGTAGAGTTAATAATAATTTCTGAAGGAACTCAAGGATCAGACCCAAGGTTTTGGGCGACTGCATGGAGACCTGGGTCCATAATGTATTTTTTTTTTTCTTTTATGGCCCTGTAATTCCTTGCTCCAAAGAGGGATTGGGGTGACTAAGTGAAGCTGAGAGTTTACTGGCCAGATACTGTTCCTGATGCCTTTCCGGAGTTCATAGTTCATATTTTCTCTTTGCGCCCTGACAGAGAAACATCTATTGTTCCCTAGGTCTTCACCTCTAGGCCACCACGCTGCTCTGGATCCTTCATATAGTCCAGATCAAAAAAGAGGGGAAAATAGGAATGTGAAAATATGAAAAGAATTTTGGCATACGTTCTCAATCATGATAACGAGAAGGAAAATGCTTCACTATTGTAAACTGAATTGGTAGCTGAATACTAGAAACCTGGTAACTGAAAACATTTTCACAAAGTGAATCTTTGATTCAGAGAGTTCTACTGGTCAACACATGGTCAACAACAGTAGCGATCCACAACAACACTACACAAACTAGTCTCCACTAAGTATTAAAACTAAGAAAATATAGTTCTTAAAAATTATTTATTGATTATTTATTGATATTTATTGATTTAAGCCTTACAGTTCTTTTAGATACTTTGGCCCATGAACAACTGAGAAAGCAATTTCTTTCAGTTTCTCCTGTGTAAAATTTATTCCCGCTTTCTGGAAAATTTCATGTAGAATTGTGCCTACCAGCATTGCACTTGAAGTATGTTCACATTTCTGTAAAACAAAACAACCACTTTCAAAATATTTGCATAAATGTGGCCTACATATCAATTAATCTGCAAGATTCTGTGCTTCCCTTACTATGCTCATACTATTGTCATAGGCCTGTACAATACATACACTATTAGTATGTCACTGAACACAGTAAGAACTTATTTCTGAGCAAAGATAAGTAAGACTATGCTTGAAATAAGTCGAGAAAACTAAGAATAGAAAAACATACAACCTATAGCAAAAAGAATATTAAAAAGCTAAGGAGTGAATGTGCTATCTTAAATTATAAGATTACAAAGACTGTTTCTTAGTTGAGTATTATCCTTCTAAATTTTTCTATTATTCTAATTATAAATCTTTCTGAACATAAATAACAGATAATTGAAGTCTGAATATACATTTTTACCAGTAAAACTATCTAGTCTCCAAGTGCAATAGTGTTGTTTTTGTTATATTTTCAGAAGATATAAAGAAAAAACTGTAAAGATGTCTATTTTGTTTCCAGGCAAAGATTAAAAATCTCATGGCTGATGATTGGAGCATAAAGGGCTTCTGCTGGCCCAACCATATTAAAAAATAAACTCCCCTATATTATGATCTTTTCAAACAAATAATATGGGGGCAGCCCTATCACAAAGTTTTCAAGATAAAGCAGACTGCCACATGCTTTAATCCAGGAGTGTCAAACAGGCAGCCCGCGGGCCAAATGGGTCACATGTAGGCCACGCCCACCCCAGCTCCGCGAATGGGAAAACCATTGTGAAACGTCATGTGACAGCAATGTGACGCCGCAAGTTTGACATCTGTGCTTTAATCCAACAAAATCACAGCTATCATGGCAGATGAAACTGATAAAACACAGGCAAGCACTGCCTCTATTACTGCATTATAAAAGAATCAGGGTCCATCACCTCCAATATACATATGGAAGTAACAAAAGTGTTCAGAAGACCTCTATCCCTAGAGGTTTACTTGTAAAGTAATAATATATGAAGCATCCATTCAATTAAATGCCATTTGAAACACCAGCAAATGAATACAGCCAATAATCCAGCACCATTTTGGAGCTAAATTAAATTGTGATTTTATTTATGATAAAAATTATTGACGTGACAGCTGTTTTAAACATTTAGAAATCCAATATTATTAATTTTTTTTACTAACCCGGAACTTTTCACTCAGTACAGCTCTTCTCATGCACTGAATGCTCTTTGATACTGTCGTGCCAGAAAGTAGCACATCTGGATACAGAATTAAATATCCTGCATCTGCATTTATTATCCAGGTACCAGAATTGCACTCTCCTTCTAAGTGAATGATATCTCCAGGCTGGACTGGAACAGAAATCCTTTTAAAAAGATAGATCATTAAAGAGGGCAAATATGTTTGGAAATGGGAAATAAAATAAGGAAAATAAACAATGACTTCTGTAATTGATCTACCTCTCCTCTGTGTATGTGCACATACAGATCCACGCATAAACAGGGAAAAAATAATTTTGTTTTTTCTCCCATGTAATGGTTATGCGGATTTTTGAAAGCCAAATCTGCTAGCCTAACAAAAACTGGATAGTTCATTGGATAAAAAGCATAAATTTACCTGCATTCAAAATTGCTTAGGTTAGAGCCATTTTAATTATGAATAATTATCATAAATAATACAAATAGTAATGTTTTCTATTGTAACACCTACCATTTGGAATTTCATCCCCTCAGAGATCAAAATGGCCTCAACCCTGTTGATCTTTCATAAAACTTAAAGACACATTTTTATCACTGGTATTTTTGATACAAATATGTGGGTGCAGTCTGTGCAATAGTTATATTATTTGTTGGTGGTGGTTCTGTTTTTTACCTCAACTGTGCTTATAACTGTGCACTGTTTTTTAAATTATATATTTTATTATGTTTTTAATTGTGGTTAGCCACCCAGAATCATGAATTGGAGATGGGCAACTACATAAATTGAAATAATAAAACAGGGCACAGGTAAGTGGATATAAGGAAAAAAGTGAGGAAAAATTAAATTAAGTATCATAAATACTAGAAAGGTGGTTGAAAGGACTAAACATCATACTTTTCCCAATTTGTTTACGAGTTATGTTCACAAGATGTACTGAATCACAAAACAGTGCTAATCCAGTATGTTAATCCAGCTCTTGTGCTTAGCTTTGGTGCAACATACCCCAAAAAATATAGTTTATTAGTTAATAGGAGGGTTCACCAAGGGTAATATGCAGTAAGAACAAACCATAAGAAAAGTTTCCATAAAATATTTTCCTAACCTCTTCCTATTATTCTTATACATTTATCATAAAATTAATTTTTCATAATAGGTATGTAGTTAGAAATCTGCCAGGCAAATGTCCACTCCGTTTGCCCAAGAATTACCAGTCATCCTGAAGGATGCACAGTTCTCTCTCTGAATCGTCAAGCAGAGAAGAAATGATTGTCAGACGCTTCTCAAGTTCTTCATTATCCTGAACATGTACCACACAGTATCTGTTGTTCAAACCTCTTTGGAGTACCGTATCTGGGAAGCCGATCATTTTCTTTGGAAACCTAAAATAATTAGACAATTTTAAAAGTGGGAAGTAATCCTGAAATCAAAACGTTATAAGAAATACTGGCTTACTGCAATGTGTGAATGAAGCCTTACCAACTATATCTATATATATATATACTATATACAGATAGATAGATAGATAGATAGATAAATAGATAGATAGATACCGACCGACCAAATAAACCACACTGCAGTGCTCTTTCTCTGGCTGTTTTCCCACCACACACTATGGTTAACCAAAGTAGCCAATTATAATAATAATTATTAGGATTATTATGTTTAATATTATTATATTTTTATTAGAAGAGACGTTAAGAGGGAAAAATGAATAAGTTTACTATGCTGAATTGTTCAATATATTATAATTGTAAGATTGGAGAATTAATATCAGTATAATGAACGATGTTGTAAATCTTGATGGTTATTGCACAGAGATATTTGTACCCAGGTGACACACTGTTTAAGGGAAGATTTCAGTGCTGTGGCTATGGCTACCCCCTTGCCTTTTTTTTTCCTTCCCTCTCAAAAGGGCTCAGAAGGGATTTCACATAAGGGATCTTGGAGGTCATCTAGTCCAACCCCCTGCTCACGCAGGAGACCTGTACTAAGGATTCGAGCCTCAGATCAAGCCCAGGAGGGAACCATTACATTTCCTATTTTTTCACTTTCAAACATCATCTTTGGCCTTTTTTTAATTATTATTATTTTCACCTGATCGGGAAAAATTTGTAACCGTCTTGATGATCTCATGGGGCCTCCTTCCCTAACTGGAAACAGAAGAACCGAGTTGGCTCTCTGAGCTTACTTATAGGGTACCAATCATGAACTACAGTCCTCTAAACTACGATCAAACCACGTTACATTTAAGGTTTTAAGCCGGGGGTGGGGGTCCCTCGCTTCATCCACCCACCCACCCACCCAGGCGCCCTCAAGCCCCTGCTTCAGCCCCGGCAGAGACGACCACCTTTCCGCCGGAGGCTCTTCCACGAAGCTCCTCTCCATCAGCTCCTCCAGCGTGCCTCCGTCCAGCCCCTCCAGGGCTTCCTCCCCTTCCGCCATGCGGGACTCAGGCCGGGAAAACCCGCCAAACCTGCCGCTCGCCTGGGCCGGCCGGGGAGGAGCGCTTTTCTCCGCCTCCGCGCGCGCCTTTTGGAGAGGAAGAGGCGAGGCTGCTGCGGTTCCCTTTGCACAGGCGCTGCCTCGTGGAAGGGACCCCCGCTTGCTCAGAAGGGGCTCCCGCCGGCATCTGAAGGGAAAGTGGCTTTGACCGGCACTCCCGAATTTCTCTTTCCTTCCCGCCGGTTCTTGAACCAGCTGTGACAACTCAGCTGGAAATATTAAAGCCGGGTTGGGAGGCGGGGGGAATAGAAAAGGAAGCCACAAGATGCGCATTTCTCTGTGTTGATGGCCATTGATTGTATTTGTTCAATTTTTAATCCCACTTTTATTGATTTGATTGTTTATTTGTACCCTATGACTATCATTAAGTGTTGTACCTTATGATTCTTGATGAACGTATCTTTTCTTTTATGTATACTGAGAGCCTATGCACCAAGACAAATTCCTTGTGTGTTCAATCACACTTGGCCAATAAAATTCTATTCTACCTTATGATTCTTGATGAACGTATCTTTTCTTTTATGTACACTGAGAGCCTATGCACCAAGACAAATTCCTTGTGTGTTCAATCACACTTGGCCAATAAAATTCTATTCTACCTTATGATTCTTGATGAACGAATCTTTTCTTTTATGTACACTGAGAGCATATGCACCAAGACAAATTCGTTGTGTGTCCAATCACACTTGGCCATAAAATTCTATTATTCTACCTTATGATTCTTGATGAACGTATCTTTTCTTTTATGTACACCGAGAGCGTATGCACCAAGACAAATTCGTTGTGTGTCCAATCACACTTGGCCAATAAAATTCTATTCTATTCTATTCTACCTTATGATTTTTTGATGAAGTATCTTTTCTTTTATGTACACTGAGAGCATATGCACCAAGACAAATTCCTTGTGTGTCCAATCACACTTGGCCAATAAAATTCTATTATTCTACCTTATGATTCTTGAACGTATCTTTTCTTTTATGTACACCGAGTGTATGCACCAAGACAAATTCGTTGTGTGTCCAATCACACTTGGCCAATAAAATTCTATTCTATTCTATTCTACCTTATGATTCTTGATGAAGTATCTTTTCTTTTATGTACACTGAGAGCATATCCACCAAGACAAATTCCTTGTGTGTGCAATCACACTTGGCCAATAAAATTCTATTCTATTCTATTCTACCTTATGATTCTTGATGAACGTATCTTTTCTTTTATATACACTGAGAGCCTACGCACCAAGACAAATTCCTTGTGTGTGCAATCACACTTGGCCAATAAAAAAATTCTATTCTATTCTATAAAATTGGCTCTTCTATCTCTGTTGAACACCTGAAGCACTGCTCTGTCTTCCTTTCTCACTTTATAATGTTTTTAACAATCTGTAAGCTGTCCAGAGTTAGCTGGGAGTAGAGCAGCACATTAATGTAATATTGAATTTCCTTGAACACAGGCTATTGGGCTACTTTTTAAAAAAAAGTTTTTATTTTTTTAAAAATATAGACATTCCATCTTCCCTTAAACAGTGTGTCGTCTGGGTACAAATATCTCTGTGCAATAACCATCAAGATTTACAACATCGTTCGTTATATTGATATTCTCTAATCTAACAATTATAATATATTGAACAATTGAGCATAGTAAACTTATTCATTTTTCGCTCTTAATGTCTCTTCTAATAAAAATACAATAATATTAAACATAATAATCCTAATAACAATTATAATTGGCTACTTAGGTTATCCATGGTGTATGGTGGGAAAACGTTTTGATTTCAGGATTCATTCCCACTTTTAAAAATTCTGGAGGCCTCCAAAACAGCTTTTGTTCATATGGGTTATATTTACTATATTAAAAATAAAGATTGATGCATTTACAGAATATTTATTGAATCCAACTCAATTCAGTTTATTGTGGTCATAAACCAGTACAGATGATAAAACAAAGTTTAAGACAGGATTAAAATACAGTTGTAAAACTAACATTTATTAAGTGAGGTCCAGGATACAACCTATATTAAATTATAATGTAAGATTTATTAAATCATGTAAAATAACTACTAAATCAATTAGATATTAATATTTTAATGAAGAAAACATATTTTTTAACAAATTAAAGACAAGAAAAAAATGAGTTTTAAATGTTAATAAATATGTTTAATACCTGGCAAATAATTTTTATTTTGATGACCCCCAGAGCCTTCAGCCACACTTTTAAGAAAAGCTGTACAAGCTTTTTATGTTCTTGCTATTATTCTGTTGTAAGTCCCCAGAATCACTCCGATTATGAGATGTACAGGAAATAAATTTCATAAATAAATATTAAAAAATATGGCTTAAGTTTTACACACTGACTCAGTCGTACTTTATTCAATAAATTATGTAAGTAAATTGCTGCAATTTCAGCAAAAGGAAGCTAATTCCACAGAACATAAACAGACCAAGCACTTGTTTTCAGGTATCCAGAAAGTCCCAAGCAAGTGGGGACAGTTGAATTTAATTCCTGAGAAACTGTAAATCCATTTTCAAACTACATCAATCAAGATGTAGGGCAGTGTTTCTTGACTGTGGCCATTTGAAGATGTGTGGACCTAAGCTCCCAGTGCTGGCTGGGGAATTGGAAGTCCACACTTTAAGGCCAAGTCTGAGAAACTCTGATGTAAAGAATATCTTGTACTTCTACAAACTTGGCGCTTCCCTAGAATTGCCCCCAAAGGATAGCATGATTTTTCATCCACACCTCTTGATTCTCAAAGGCAAATATATAGATACCAATCTATAAGGTTTGGTCATACAATACTTTTTGGCAAATGGATAGCTAGCTACTTTGTGACTTAGTGGGTTACTACGAACTATAGTACAACAGCTGGATTACCATCATTCATTCATTCAGTGGATACATCTAGAAAGCAATTTCCGTAAGAAGGCAGCAATTAGAAGTATACTACTGCATAGAAACTAGAACTGCATAGAACTACTGTAATTTTTAAAAATAGCTTTGCATTAATGTGTGTATTAGAAGTGTGAAGGTTTGAGGAGAAAATATAAAAGTATGTATTTTTCCTGGATTTTTCTCCCTTCTCCCATATTGAATTTTTTAAAAAATTGTTGGGAATAGTCTGGACAATTTTATTTTAAATTTAAATTTCACAAAGAGGTCAGGATAATTGTATGGTAAATCAAACTTACATATACGGCACTGCATGCTCTTAAAATTGCAAAGTGAACTGAGATCTGTAAAGGGTTCCGTTTTTAACACATACGCACTACTTTTTTCTGTGATTTTAAAATTTCCAAAAATTCCAGGGGCAAGAAGCTAACAAGGATTACAATAAATTCTGCTCCAGAATAGGTCCTCCAAAACAATAGCAAATCAATTCCACACACTTCAAACCAGCAATCAAGCTTGGTTTGAGAGCATCACTTTTACCTACTCATCCGCATGGCAGAACAAGCTGCAATTAAGCATTTCTAAATGGGCTGGAAAGAAAGGTTCCTCGTTGTTTTTGGTGTGAAAAGGATGCTTCAAATCTGCAGGGATATACTTACAGTACCTCTAATCATATGTGCTCCTAGGACCATGATGGCAAACCTATGGCATGGGTGCCACAGGTGGCACACAGAGCCATGTCAGTGGGCACGCGAGCATTGCCGTAGCTCAGCTCCAGCGTGTATGCGTGCGCCGGCCAGCTGATTTTTGGGCCTTTAGGTCCCACTGGAAGTTGGGAAATGGGCTGTTTCCGGCCTCTGGAGGGCCTCCGGAGGGGTGGGTGGGGAAGGCCGTTTTTGCCCTCCCCATGCTTCTAGAAAGCCTCTGGAGCCTGGGGAGGGTGAAAAACAGGCCTACCGGGCCCACTGCCATTATGTGCTAAAAGCGGGGGGGGCCGCAGGGGCAGGGTGCATTGAATTATGGGTGTGGGCACACACGTGGGCAACCTCCCCGCACTCCCCCCACTTTTGGCACATGACAGCAAAAAGGTTAGCCATCACTGTCCTAGGATCATGCTGCAGCTGGCTGAGAAAAGACAATGCTTTAAGGCAGGTGTCAAACTGAAGGCCCGCAGCTGGATCTGGGGTGCTTAGATCTGGCCCTCATGGCCACCCTGGAAACAGCTAAGGACTGGCCCACAGTGCCTCTGCAGCAAAAGTGGAGCTCAGGAGGGCTGCAGGTCATCCAGGCCAAAAATGCGGCCCTGGGGTCAAGCATAGCCCCCTGGGCTGTTTTCCCTGGCAGAGGGCTGCAGGCGGCCATCCAGGCTGAAAACGGGGCCCGGAGGGGTCGCATGCAGTCCTCCCAGCTCAGTTTTCACTGGCAGAGGGCTAGCAAACCAAACTAAAAGCGGAACAAAACAAAAGGAGAAATGTTTCCCCTTTTGCATTTGAGCATCCAAGAAGGGACAGGAAAGGAGAAAGGGAAAGAGGAAAGACAAAAAGAAGGGAAGATGGCAAGAGAGCAAGGAAGGAAAAAGAAGGAAAAGAAAGAAAGAAAGAAAGAAGAGGGAAGGAAAAAGGGGAGGGGAGGGAGGGAAGTCCTGCCTTAGCATTTGGCCACCAGCAGACGGCAAGGCTCCTCTGGAGGACAAGGGCTTGGTGCTTTCCCTGGTCTCGCCTTCCTCTGCTGGACACAATGGATCCCCCCAACCCTGCCTGGGCCACCACAGATGTTCCTGACACAAGTGATGTCGAGCTGGTCACGCCCACCCCAGCCATGGTCACCTGATTGTCCTCCCCCCCCCCCAAACATAACCCTGATGCGGCCCTCAATGAAATCAAGTTTTGACACACCTGCTTTAAGGCATTGCTGAGAGGGACTATTAGTGCCCCAAACCTTTTTTAAATCCAAAATTCTGCAGAGCCTCAAGGGTGAATATATGAACAAGATCAACTTCATGCTCAGAAGACCAACTACAGAGTGGGCAGCAAAAAAAAGCTAAATACAATCAGGTTGATAAACAGGAGACAACTAGGTAATGCCAAGCTGTATGCTAGACTGGAAAGTTGTTAGCATCTTGGAA